ACTGTTCAAGAGTACTATTCAGTCTTTCAGTCTGGTCATCTATTTAAGAATGAAATGCTGTGCTCATTCTTCTATCAACTTTGAGAAGATATAACAGATCTCTTCAGAACTCACTTGCAAATATTGACTCATGGTCAGAGACTATGCTTGAGAGAAGTCCATGCAATCTGACTAGCTCATGCATAATCAATTCAGCAAGTTGTTCAGATGTCAGCTCTTTTCTGACTGGAACAAAGTGAGACATCTTTGTAAATCAGTCCACAATAATCAGAATACAGTTGAATTCCACTCTCTCAAAATTCTGACTTGATGGAAGATCTGTAATCACATCCATTGTGATGTGTTCTCAAGACTTTTTAAGAATTGGCAAAGGAGACATCTCTTCTTGTGGTTTCATCTGAATCCATCTGGATTTCAAGCAAACATCACAGACATCAACACATTCTTTCACAAGCTTCTTCATTCTTGGCCAATAGAATCTGTGTGCTAGCAGTTCATAAGTTCTTTCACTTATGAAGTGACCTGCCAGAGATAAATCATGATGTCTTTTAATCAATTCAATTCACAGAACTTCACTCATGGGTATATAGAGATGCTCTTTCATAAAGAGACAGTCTTTCTCCTCTGTTCAGTCTGTGAACTTGATTGAGTCTAACTGAAGACTCTTTCTAATCTCTATTGCATGGTCATCACCAGCAAGCATCTCAGATAACATTGTCATTAGATTCAGAAATGCAGTTCCTTATGAGTCTGTTCCATTCAGAGCATTACTGAGAATGAGCTGCTTGACACCTCATAACTCATTCTCAAATCTTTGAATACCATGAGTACCATTCAGAAGCAGCTTCACATAAGTCTGTTCTGATTTGTAACATGTCTTTCTGTCCACAGAGTGCACATTTCTATTAGGCAAGACATGTTCCAAGTCTTTCTTCTCAGCTTGCTGGCCAGAACAGATCAGCATGGAATGAAGCTGTTCAGCTGCTTCACACTCTTGAATATTCTCATATCTCAATGCTTCAGCATAGTCTGGTCTTCACAAAGAACCATCTGCTGGATTCTTTGATTCTTTCACATAATCAATCTTAAACCAGAAAGCTGACAGCTTCTGGGCCCACCACACTTATTGTCTTGACAACTCTTGTGTGGTTTCAAAATGTCTGAGACTGTCATGATCAGTCAGGACAGAAATGAATTGAATTGACCTCTTCAGTCAGTATCTCCATTGATGGAATGACTCAACTATGACCAGCAATTCTTGATCATGAATGTCATAGTTGTATTCAGCTGGAATCATCTTTCTTGAATAGAATCCCACTGATCTCCACATGTCATTCTCCTGTAGCTGGGAGAGAATTCCACACACAGCAAATCCAGATGCATCTGTTTCCAGCTTGATTTTCTTCTTTGAATCAAAGTGATATACCATCACTTGCTTTGTAAATGTCTTCTTCAAGTCATAGAAGAATTTATGAGTCTCTTCTGTGAGAAAGCTGGGTGAACTGTCCACTTCTTCACTTCTTCTTCTTTTCTTTCTGGATTGCTTCTTCTCTGACTTTCCACCCTTTAACATGCTAGTCAAACCAAGCGCGAGCTTGGAGAACTTGGGAATGAACTGTTGGTAGAAGTTAGTAAATCCCAGAAAGACTTGAATATTCTGATGACTCTTGGACTCTGGTCAAGAAATGATTGTGTTCATCTGGGCTTTTTTCATTGAGACACCTTCTGGTGATACCACATACCCCAGAAAGTCTATCTCTGTAACACTGAACTGACACTTAAATCTCTTGCAATAGAGTCCAGCCTCTTTCAGTGTCTTGAGCACTTTATGAACATGTTCAGTGTGTTCTTCCTCATTCTCAGAGTACACCACAACATCATCCAGGTACATCACCACAAAGACATCTAAGTACTCTCTCAGTGTCTTGTTGATGTATGACTGGAATGCTGCTGGTGCATTTGTAAGTCCAAATGGAATCATCTGATATTCAAACATTCTCAGTGGAGTCTGAAAAGCTGTTTTCCATTCATCTCCCTTTTTTATTTGTAAATGATGATATGCATTCTTCACATCCAGCTGGATATAGATCTTAGCTTTCCCAATTCAATTCAGAATGTCTTCAATCAGTGGGAGTGGATATCAGTTCTTTACTGTCTTTGAATTCAAGTTCTGATAATCCACACACATTTGTAACCCCCCATCCTTCTTCTTTGCAAACAGAATGAGTGACTCAGCTGATGATCTGGAAGGTCTGATGAATTCACTTGACAAGATAGAGTTGACATACTCTTGTAAAGCCTCTGTCTCTGTTTCTGAAAGCTGATAAATGGGGCCAAACTTTGGCACTGCCCCTGACAACAACTCAATGTCTAGGTCATTCTTCTGATAAGAGGGCAAGGAAGCATCTTTTGCATCACTGAATGCATCAATCAAATCTTTATAACTGTCTGGTATCTGCAGATCCACATCCATGATGGTGACTTGTTCACTTTTACAAACCCTCATTACATAGAAGGGTTTACCACCATCAACAAGTTCATTTAGAGAAACTGACTTGATTTTTGTCATAGAGTCTAATTCACCCTGCTTACAAAACTCAAGTGACAGATTTCCAAATGAAACAATAGAATCATGATGATGTAGTCAGAAGAGACCTAACATCATGTTCTCAGATATATCAGCAATCAATGCTTGCTCATTAAACATCTGCCAATTACCCATAGTATCTTGTGCCTCAAAGGAAATGTTTGTAATTTCTTCAGATACTAACTTTGAATGATTCTTTTCTGCAGTCTCCATCTCAACATTCATCTTACAAACCTTCAGACCCAGTCTTACTGCAAGCTTCAGACTTATGATCAGAAAGGAACATAGTGAGTCTGCTGCAGCAGTTCACTTAACTTCTTTTTCTACCCCAGAGTTACAAACTCTGATGGACAATGTGATTGGGGAAACAGTTTGTAGCTCAGACAACTTCAATTGCTTGATATTCATTCTATCTACAGACTGCTCCCCAAACCTCTATTTCTTCTTTGACTTGGTGCACTTATTCACATAGTGACCAGTCTCACCATAATTGTAGCAAGCATTCTTATCTGATTTTCCATCCCACTTTGAGTTCATAAACTGAGAATTGAAGATTCCCTGGTGTTGGTTTTCTCTCTGTTGCAATGAGGTCCAGGTCTTGTTTCTATAACCCTGACCTCAGGATCCATGGGCTCAATTTGAATAGAATGATGTTCCACCATGGTTGGTATTTGTCTCTGAGGTGGATTGTGACTTTGGGTTAGGAGTGAAGCTCTTGACACTAGATTGTAATCACATCACAACTGTCTGAATCTCATTCAGTTTCTCTGGGAGGTCCTTCTGTTCATCCAGCTTGTTGCGCATAGATTTGTCATATTGCCATAGGAAAAGATGTTTGATGAACTTATCCACACTCTGTGTCTCTTCACCCACTTGTTGCAAATGTTGTTGGAATTGTTGCAACCAGTCAAAATCTGATTCATCATCTCTTTTACAAAGATGGAAAAGGTTTCTTCAGGTCAATTGGGTTTGGTTTTCAGGATCACCTAGTTGTAAAAGTAGAAATTGTTTAAGTTCAGTCCAGGTGTTCAGAGTAGAGTTCTGGGCTGAGTGTGATTCCCAAAGATCTTTCTCATTATAGTCCAACTCTGTGACTGCATACTTCAGGGTTTCATTGTTGTCCAGACCACTAGCATCTCAGATGAATTCTATTTGGAAGGTAAACTGTCAGTAGACTGCATAGTTCTTGATCTGATAGTTGATCTTGTGTTGTGGAGACTTGATGACTGAACTCTTCTTTGAAGAATTTGAATTAGAGGTCAGAACATCAAGTGATTCTGTTCATCCATGCTTTCTATTCAGAGTTCATAAACTCTGTTGTAGTTCTTGAATTCTTTCCATGAGGTGTATCCACTCTCTTAAGTTGTCAAGAGATTCTGTGTTCTCTGGAGATGGTTTCTCAGTCTGAGTTATGCTTTCATCCAGATTTATTGTCACACTTGGTGTCTCAGCTAACTCTGGTACTGAGGAAAGAGTTGAGGATTCAGTTTGGTCTTGGTTGTTCTGTCTTGTGGAAACCATTGTTGAGCCACCTGCTTATTTGAGTGGCAAACTGTGAGGATTGGGTGGTTGCAGATAACATGACAATGGCTTACAGCCTTTGTAAATGAGGTTAGGTTGGGTGAGAAGTGGTTATGAAGAAATCTAAGCATGAGAGAGAGAGAGATAACTTGTATTGCTACAACAGTATCTAGAGTCTCTAGATATGTTGCCACTGATCTTTGTAAAGAAGTGTCTGTGGCAGGTTTTGTGTGTTCAGCTTTGCTAGTGTGATTATGTGACCAGTCATGGAGTTTATGAACCCCAGATGCCATGGAGCATGATCACCTAAGCATCAAGAAGGTTTTATGAACTTCTTTTAGATGATGGGATGAATGTAAGGAGGCTGCAGCACAGAGTCTTACACAAATGCAAGTTTACAGATGGCTCTGCTAACAAACATGATGCATCCAAAAGTGAAGAGTTTTTGCTCTGAAAAAAGAGTTGCCAGATTTATGGCCCTCACATTCCAAAAAATATCCACTCTGACCAGCAACAGAATCCCCCTGCAGCAGAGATCCATCACAGAATCAATAATCAAGATCAATTCAATCTTGCACAATTCACAGAGGGGATTGCTCAAATGTTCAACTCCATGTGACTGATGGAGAACAGGAATTTGTTGGAGGTTAATGTGTGCCTTACATGACTTGAAAACCAACTGACTACATTAACTGACATGATATTCATCTTAATTGATAACTTGTTCAGGATATATTGTTTTGAATGATGTTGTGACAGAATTACTCTGTCACCAGGCCAGATGCCTGATGATCTCATGTATGTAAATAGAATACATACATAGCAATGAAAATGACCAATTTCACTATATATGAGTATAATCTATGTAGAAACACTCATACATAAAATCTGATCAGATCCACTCCCCTAAGTATCAAAATTGTTAGATTTTTGATCACAGAAGATAATTAATTGGGTAACCAATCTCAACAGCATCTTCTCTATATGAATCAACTTCATCTGAATCTTTATTGTTCTCTTCACCAACATCCACCCCATCAGTCTCCAAAACCTTCATGATATATGTGTTGACAGTGACTACATGGAAGGATAGATTTTGAAAGACTTCAGACAGCTTCATATTGAATAAGAATCTGAGATTACTCTCTACACTAACACACAACTGCTCCAATATTAGAGAAGCAAGACTGTAGATATCCCCACTGATGGACTTTTTAACATATTTTGCATCAGTATACTCTCCATAAGCTTGCTCAACTGTCTGATGAAGCTGATGTGTATATTTTAAAGTATAGATAGACTTCCAAAAAAGCTTCTGAACCTCAAATATTGATGTTCTCTGAGATCACAGTAATTTCTTCAACTCCAGATTGAGCAGCTCATTGAGTTTATCAGTCTCCATGAAATGTTCAGTACTCTGATGTACAGTGATGAGACTGTTAGTCAGAACAGCATCTCAGAGCAGCTGATCATGTGTAGAGAAGTTTGTCAGTCATCAGAAATATAACATCTCAACTGCATAATTGAAGTGATGTTGCTGAATGAAATGCAAAATAGACTGCTCAACTCTCTGAAACAGCAATTCAACATCTTCATGTTTAGTGTCAGTCTTGATCAGTTTATAGATTTTAATAAGATGAAGAAACTGTGTATGAACTGCCATGATAACATCTGCACAATTCTTGTCAGACAGCTATGACACATCAGAGTTCTGAACATCAGATTGAGTCTTGAAATCAGTCTTTGAGTGATGTGCACTGTGATCTTTCATTCTCTTCATCAACTCATCAGATTGACATATCAACTTCAGTGCAAATGTCATGAAGTATATATAACTGATCAGATCATTGAACTCACTGATCTGCAGACTCAAAATCACTGCTTGCACTGCATCAGAGTTTGTAGTATTCAGCACAGTGTGAGTGTCTCTGATCAGTTGCAAAAACATTGCTGTTATATGAGCATCAAAGCTATGAAGAACAAGTTCTTCAAGATGATGAAACAGTGTCTTCTCACTAAGCAGATGTTATTGATAAAGATGATTGATGTAATTGAACAATGATGTTGTCTACTGAGAGAACTCAACTCTTCCATAGAAGATCTTCATCATTATATATAAGAAGTTGAGCCAAAGATGCCACATTGCTGACACTGACAATGTTCAACAGTGAGTATCATATAGTCTCTGAGTCTCACACTGTCAGTGCTGACAGTCTCAGATGAATGCTGACATTTTCTGATCATCATAAACTAGATACAGTGACTCATGGAAATTCTTATTCTCATTCATGTTAAACTGCTCAGCAAAGACAGTATGAAAGATCTCATAAAGATCATCATATGTGCTCTCAGACATCAGTATAGAATTCAAGAGTGACATATGTGTTGGCTCTGATGGATGCAGTTTATTGATCTCTGATAGAACAAGTCAACTATACAAATCACTTTCTGTTTCAAACATGTTGATCAGTTTGTTCAGGTAGACTGCAAACAGAGTCTTGGAAATGAAATAGCAACACAATTCAATCTCAATCTGATTCTGATTTTGCTGCAAGAAATGAATATAGTTAAGTTGATTCAAAGAAGACAGACTCAACATGCTCTGATAAAGTTCATCTGATGAAATCTGATTCTGAACATGAAGATCAGTGATATAAGAGTGAAATGAACTCTTGTCATTAATGATCTGATGCTGAACATTCTCTTGAAACTCAAAATTATTAATTATAACAACACTAGTTGGTCTGAAGTCTTCTTGAAGCTGATGCTGTGACAACTAATCAGTTGCTGCTCACAACAGTGATCAAACAATCATTCACTGATCTTGACAATAGTGACCATGTTCAGCTGCTCATCACAAAGAGTTGTGTAACTATCAATGATCTCTAGACTGTGCAGAACAGTGAGAACTCTTTGTTTAACTCTCATGCTCATGAAATAAAAATTCAATAGCTGAGTGAAAGTGTTAGCAGTGTTCTGGGCACAGCTCAACTGCAGAATGAAAACAATCAGAGTCAGCTGATCTCAATGCAGACAATGTTTGCAAGTATGCTGATGATGACTTAAGTGAGAAAACTCTTTAATCACATGTGTCAACATGAATGCTGTCTGCTCAATTGTGGAAGCAAGATTATCAATGCTGATGTTGTTAGTTAAACAGATTGTATGAAAGTGACAGAAGAAGAGACTCTGACTCTGAAGAACTGTTAACTTTTAATGAACAAGATGCACTATCTGATTCAACATTGTGTGCTGAAGACTCTAACTATGAATCACTGCAATCTGAAAGAAGTCATTTCTTTCTAGCACACTGATCAGATTATTGACTCTCTGTTTGGGCATATAGAATGACTTTGATTCATCACTCTGAATTCATTACTGAATCAGTGAAGAAACAGACACTTAAAGACACTGAAGCAGTTGAAATACAATGTTAATCTTTTTACACTCTGATAAATGCTCATTCAATTTCAACAGATGCTGAAGAACATCTTTCAAGAATTGTGACTCTGTCTGGAAGAAATTCTTATTAAATGAGCTATTCACAAAACTATTGAAACTGATCTATATGCTGGGCAGACTTAAGTTCTTCTCCTTCAACTCAGATGCAATGATATCTGAATTCAGACTATCAGAGCCACTGCTCTCACTGCACATAAGCAGATTCTCAACAAAATTCTGAACTCACTGAAAATTCAAAGCTGATTGATTAACTGTCTGTTCAGCTTCACTAGTCTCATTGAATTCTTCACACTTGATCAAGTCACTGTTGGAGAAAATAATCATATTAATGAACAGTTCTAAATGTGCAGATGTAACTGATGAGTAATGCTCAGATGTCAGTATGTTGTTCTGACATCATCTGTCTTCTTAAATGACAGAGTAAGAGATCTCTGATGCTGAGACATACTGAACTCTGACTGCTAACTGAGTGAGAGATCATTTGCTGATGATCAGATTCAAGAATATCTGAAAATCAGAGTGAAGAAAGATGATGTGTGATCATTTTGCTGAATGATTCTGAATGAAAGAATGAGACATTGAAGATAAATAACTGATCTGAGATTCAACAAAGATAACTATGAAAGTATTCTGATGATAAAATATGGGCTGTGTGAAGAGTGAATGATTAAAGATGTTGAGTAGACTGTTTCAGAAATCCAAAATTTCACTAAGTTCAACATCTGGTCAGAGAACTCTAACAAAATGCAAAAAACTGACTCAGATCTTTTACAGAATGTGACAGAAATTACTCATAAGAATCTAGCTTCAAAGCTTATAATTATGCTATGCTACATTGGGCCTAGCCCATTTCTGACTCATCCAAAGTGGAAGGTCTGAGGGTATGAGGCAAATCTGAGCCAGTTTTCACAAAAAAAAAAAAATAGAAGGAACTCTGAAATTCCCATACAAATTTGAAATTTGTGATTTGAGCTGATAATCTCAACATTAAATGTCTGATTTCAAAAACTTGATACAATATGAGTTACTATGGACTCTCTTTATTACTTCAGGTCTACAATATCTACTACATCTGGTTCAACCTGCTCCACATCACCAGATTTTTCCATTTGGTTATTCAATTGGGAAATATAAGATAGAGAATGATTACTCCATGGTTCTTCAAATAAATAAAAATTTTAAATTGGGTATAACTTTATATAATTATCAGCTACTCTCAGCTCTAGTTACTAGTATGAAGATTCTCAGAGCTGTGGTGGACTGTGATTGAATGGTTGAGCAAAATGAAAATTTCAGACTGCACTCATCACAAAATAGATGACCTTGGGAGAAGTCTTATACTAAAAGAATTGGTAAATTTTTTGATTTTTTTTTTGGACAAAGTGGTTGCTCATCTATTTCTGAACAATGATACACATCACTTTTGACAGTATTAAATGTGGTGGTTGAGATATTGAATGGCCATAGTTGAAGAAAAGTGGTGTTGCAGTGATGAAAACTGACTCAGATCTTCAATGAATGTTGAAGAGAAGTCTCAATTCAGCCTAGTATATCTTGGCATAGACCCACCCTAATTAGTAAGGTAGGAGACGGCTCTTCAACATACGGTGAAGGTCTGGGGTTATGAGGCAAGCTACCTAAGCCTAACAGATACAAAATTTGAATTTGGTGTATCATCTTGAGCTACCTTAGGCAGGGAACAATGCTCGGAACGTTCGGTTGAAAACCCAGCTTTAAGAGATGTCCCAATGTCGCTGTCACGAATGGAGCGATTTTGTTCTACCCGGGAGCGTAATGACAATGCCGAGATCTAACTGAAAAATGAAGTTCGCCGAGCTAACCATTGTTCTTCAAGATCCAACTCTCGTACGTCGAATCTCGGTCCCCCTTGCTTCGTCTTCCAAACGAAATATTGTCCTTTATATTGGGCGGGCTAGATGCTCTGGATAAACTCTCCCTCTCCCTCAGCTGCAAACGTCTGTTAGCAGTATCTATTTCGCTCTATTTGCAGGTTCCCAACCCCTCCGAAATGGCCACAAGTGTCTCGATGTGCAAGACAATAGAAGGGCTACTTAGACGAGTAACACCGTTAAATACCCAGGGACGAGCAAGTAGATCATGGATTATATGTTATGGTTGTAAGCGGTATCGACCGAGAAGAAAGAGTTATTGGGTAAAAAAACTCGTGAACGGAGAAGAATGGGAAGGGGATATACAGCTGTGGATCGAAAACATCTCAACTCATTGTCCTGAGTGCCTACGTGACGATCGATTGACGATACGCTCAATACCACAAAGGGATGGAACATTTCTATATCATTGATGGTCATGGCTTCGTAATGGATAGAGGGGTTGGCAGGCTGTCTACAGTGTAGTTGGAGCATAAAATATCAAATCAAGGATAGGAAAGTAATTGGCAAACATGTACTTGAATGCATCAATATGCCAAGATTTACATAAACTGCACAGCATCGTGCCCCAAGGATTCCCATAGAAGTAGCTGAATCGTCATTCATAAACAAGCAATCCCCATTTGCCGCAAGGCAGGTCACAGGATGAAAACGTATGGCCACACAAAGCTCGATCCTCAGGTAGGTTCATGTTTCTGCACCCAAATGTAGTACATGTCTAGATTTCCTCAGGGAGCCAGATTTGGATCGGGGAATGCCATACACCTCGATGAATACACGCCAATCCCTGGGGATTGCGTTGGATCAGGGAGCGCCATGGAATCAACCGTGCTTTGGAGTCCCCAAGGAGCCCGGCGACCTGCGGCACGGTTCGGACCGGGGAAATGCGCATATATCGACCGAAAGAGGGTATTGCTACGGCGTTTCAGCCCCTCAGGGCAGGTTTGCCGCAGAGTGCTAAATAGAGAGATAATGGAGGCGTTCGGTTGGTGAAGGATAAGAGTCGATTCGAGAATTTAAGGGTTTCAACAATTAGACCTAGTGTTTATTGAAACAAAAATAGGTTTGAAATAAGAAGAAATCTTCTTGCTCATGATTTTAAATGTTTGCACTGTTGTGGACCTCACTTCGCTATTGGATATCACCGAGTCTTGAATTCATAGAGTATTTTTGAACTATAAATATAAAGATAATGGACATTATATAATTTGATCAAAATTTACTCAAAGCCATTGAGAAGCTCGCCAATTTCTTTGCTTCCTTCCAGCACAGATCGAGCCTGACAGTCACCCATACCCATATCCTTACCAATCAACTTTGTCAGAACCTCAGGGACTAGCACCTCCTGAATATATGCCGGCACGCCTCCACAGCGCCTGATGAACTGGAGCTTCGTTGAAGAGACTGCCGTGATATGTGAGCAGTGTACTCTTGCTATATGTTGACCACTGTCCAAGCTTCATTAGCATATATATATATATATATATATGTGTGTGTGTGTGTATGTGTGAGAGTGTGTGAATGTGAGAGAACCTACATGATCTCCAACCCTTTGGGCCCATAGTATCCTGCGCAGTGAAAATCCGAACCTCGACTCAGTGACTGCAGGTTATTCTCGATAGACGTCTCGAAGAACGATTTTGTTTTTGCCCTGATGATAGAGTGAATCATGGACCCCAGTCGAGTCAGACGGTCCTCAATGGTATCCCAGTTAATGACAGGATAGCCACGTTCTCTTCGCTGACTCTCAGCCGTCATTTTCTTGTGTGCGCGACATATTTCCATCTGGGCCCTGAATGGAATAAATTTCTTTTCATTCATATATTCGCGAAGAAGACGGGCTTCAATTGAAGTAGAGCATATTGGACATTGGGATTTGTCGGGCTTTTCAAAAAGTTGAGGATCAATGCATGGTTTCTTTGGAGAGGGGGGCTGAGATGGTTCTCCGACGATCTTCAAGTCGGGCATTTTATCAATACCCGCTTTGAATGTGAATATCATTTTTCCGGATACTGTCTCAGATTCGCTGAGGTCTCCTTTTCTACTCATTTTGCCATTGATTTTACGGTAACAGTGAACGTCCTGAAGATGAAACCGTAGCTCTTCAACATTATCGAAGAAAGCAGTGCATAGAGGATGCGAGCATTTGCATCTGGAATTTGTGCTTTCAAGCTCGATAAGATGTCTCTCCATTTCCTTATTCCACTCAGATTTGTTAGTTAGATATTGCTTCATTCGTATGTTTGCCGGTAAAGATGAATCTCCCAAGCAAAATAGGCAATGGCCAGCGTTGATCGAAACGTTCCGAAATATCAATAGATCACATCTCAGCGGCAGTGATTCGGGTGTATTCAGGTGCTCAAGACAGTGATCATGCCACTCAGTCTCGCTCTTGAGCCATATATCACAGTTCAAGCATAGCTCGGCAAAACGGGTCACAGATAATGCTTTTTATTGTCTCTGATGACATCGGTATAGATGTAGCCACCTTTGATGTGAAAAATAACTACAAGGAGATCACACTTCAGTGTCCTATACTGTGAGAACGATAGTTATTGAGGTTTAATCAAACCTTCCAATTTTCACACCACAGACGCAATGCCCTCTGATTGGTGCGAAACTTTTTCTGTAGGCCACATGGCCCTCCTGCTTGCAAATCGCTTCCAGAGTGCGCAGTGCGCATCGACCTTCTGTGCTACGCAGTTCGATTTTCTTTGGCAATAAATTTGCGAGAAGATCGCGTTCCGGCATCACATGTATCGAATGCTGAAAACATGTTCGTTCATGTACGTGAAACAAAGGACAATCTTCTGCCGCTCTCTGTATTCTAACTGGCTGTTGCTCTCGTTGAGACTTCAGCTCGGCGTTATAGAGTCGCTTTTGCTGATTATAGATTTTGTGAGACTCGGTTTGAATTCGTCGCTTTTCATCTTCATGTGCCGTTATCATCTGCAGACTTAGAACTTCCATTTCCTTCTTCAGGTCAATTACATCCTTTCGTTGATGGAATTCCATCTCAAGTCTGGCCGGCAGCGATTGAAGGAGCTGTGAGTGGCGCTGCAACTGCAATCCACAACCGTGCTTGATATGATCTTCTCGAGGCTCTATGCCTAGATATGTCGCTTGCCCGTCAACTTGACAGACAGGGTGAGCATAGTTAGATCCGAACATTGTCCGAGTTGTTTGACCTGCAAATTTCATCCATGCTGCCTCGGTGTACATTTTATCTTGTCAAAATATCAGCAATGATCTAAGAATATTCGCAAAAAGAGCCCTACCAGCCTCCATAAGCGCCCATCGCCTGCAAGCGCGAACAGTTACGTTGGACTTAAAACCAGCTCGATGACCGGCGTCGGCGAAATGTTTTCCGAATGAGTCCGCTCCACGGGCCTTTCCGGTTGAAGCGACGGTACGATGCTCAGTAAATGGCCTAAATATGGGCAGATCTGAAACCTCTTTCTTTAAAAGCACTGGAAATTTATCCAAATCATCCGGCAAACCATGCATGGTCTGCCTCATTCAGGAGCTCATCGATAGACGCATAATCACGTATCGCGCCATCGGCGAAAGCCAGAGGGAGAAAGAACAGAAGAGGGCACAATAGAAGCAGGATATCCTTCTTATATTTCTCATAGAATCCATGAATTGGGAGTTCCCACTGATTTTTTGTCCACGCTCCCTTTATAAACTCACGCTTGTAATACATCACCAGTATCACCTCGCCGTCGATGCGTTGCAGATAAAGAGTAAAATGCTAAACATGCGCTAATTTTGGTCAACGGAACGGAGATACGGGGTTTTTTTCTCTCGACTGACCTTATAGCAAGCGGCTGCCGCCCTGGCGCTTTTCCTGCGAGCTGTGGATTCGTGAACTTCACCTGTTCTGGCTGATGTGAAGCAATATAGAAGAGCTGCAAAGCTGAATTGCACACGAGATCGATCCGGGCAGTCACCTCGGAACTCATAATGGTCCTTACACCATAGGTGGACCATTATAGCCACTAGATCGCTTGGTGACAGCCCATCTTTGTCCATTTCCGCGGTAGATAACGGAATAATCTCCTTCAGCTCTTTTCTAATCCACTGAGCGAGCGAAAAAGGGTCAGTATCAGACCGAAGCATGGTGATTGAAAAATAGACTGAATGGACATTACCTCTTTGATGGTTGTGGTGACACCCTTGGGAAACTGGTATTTGTGTTTTCTCTGTCATGTGGTTTCAAAGTCTCTTCTGAAACTCTCTATTGTCCCCACGGTGGGAGTTGATTTGATTCTCCTATGTACTCTTCTTGCGAAACTCTCAAGAAAGCCTTTATATGTTTTCAGATTCGGAGGAGAAGTCCTGCTCGGATGTAGTTTAAGAAAACTTCATAGAAAAGTTAGCGCCTGATCTCATTTTCTCAGTTCCTATATTAAAGCACAGATTTATCAAATAGAGCGAGCGCTCTATCATATGCTTCCTGAGTTCGTGGCAGAACGATCCTATCGATTTCCTCGTTATCGTAGTCATCGAGATTCACAATATATGTGAAGACTTCAAGGCCAGATTTTGCCATTTTAATCACACAGAAATCCTAGTGGTGAGTTTATACAAAGAGATTTATGAACATGAAGTGATAAAAGATATCGGAGAGGTGATGGGAAGCAGAAAAAAAGCATCTGGAATCAAGAGAAAGAAAAAGGATTGAAGGGAACTTCGATCCCTTTTGTACGAGAGATGGGCCAGCCATCTTCAAGGCCTCTGTGGATTCTAACCCACTTCATCTGCGGTCTGGGAGGATTCAGGGGAATTCGGGTGAATTCAGGTGAAGTAAGGTACATTCGCGGGTGCACCCAGAGGCTTGGCTGACTAAGCCACTGGAAAAAGAGCGAGCAAGATTCAGCGTGAACGGGTGCGAGACACCTTACTTATGCTGTTGTATGTTTTTTTTCTTTTTAACTTTTATATACAGAGTAGTTGCAGCCAGCTCTCCCAAGGTCTTCTTGATAATTGTCCTATACAAGTCAAGTGCCAAGACTTGGACATACACAGGTATGCTTTTTCAGCCAACTATAGTTGGCGAGAAATATCAAGATGCTACACGGCGTTATCCGTGGAGTGGCGACGCTAAATACTCCTCTCTTCTTTTGCACTCTTATCAAGAGTAATAGCTACTCCGTTCATTGAAAAAGATAACGAGCTTAGGTAGTATATGCCCATATCCCCAAAAATTCACATTGCTCCCATGATAGATCTGTACTCGCTAGGAAAATGCCCCGTTCAGAAAAGTAGGACAGAAGCAGGGATGCCTATAGGCTTTAATTCATTATGTCATGATACACGTGTACGCAGCAGGAAAGTGCGACATTCGAGAAGTCTACACTCATTGGACCTTTTGTGCAATCGCAAAATCCTAAAGCAAGAATCAATAATCAAGCCGAACAATAGAAGATCAGTATGTAATACGGTTAACTTACAGGAAACTCGTCCATGATCGAAGTAGCAACCTTCTCGACCTCATCTGTCAGGCGCTGGACACCAGCATCCCACGACTTGAGACTCCTTCCCTCAATATCCATAGATCCAATGCCATCAATGGAATCAAAAAATATCACTCCGTCAATCTGGTCAATCGTTCCTTGTAAGCGGCCCTGTTCTAACATTCGAGCAGCATATATTTCAGCTTTCTCAGCAGCACCCATACCTCCACTTGCTGTGAGGCCTAAGATCGAAGCTAGGTTTTCAACACGAATATTTTCGTACAATCGACTCGCGGCAAGTAGATTGTGTTCGATGACAGCTTTATCAACCACAGTTGACCCGTCTGCAGTTTTAGCGACCTGATGCGGAGCTAATTTTGTTGAAAAAGACTTGACCTCCTCTGGAGTAAGAAGTTGATCCCGAAAGATCTTCTCTAATATAGCGTACTCTTCTAATGAGGACGATCGATCGTCCTTGTAAAGCCGTGACAGCATCCGCGATCTTTGAGGTCCCGCTGGAGCCAGCACTGCACATCTAATAGCTGCTGCTAATGCTTGTAGTCGGTCATCCTCCTCTACTCCAGTAGCCAAGCTGACATTAAGGTATTCCTGGCTAGCATCAAGAAACCGTCTTCGCGCGTCAAGAATGCGCGCTTGTGATAGTTGGAAATGAAGCTTCAATTCTGGATCTTGAACCTTTGTAGGCAGGTTTTTTATCTTATTTAAGAACCCTTCAGCGCTTGTGGGATCGTCCTCTTCGAGATATAACCTGACAATTCGTATCCACATACGTACTTTAGCATCATCGGAAATTAATCGCTGGGAGCTGTCCAGGTGAATCCCCTGTAAGACTTTCGCAGCAGCAACATATTCTTCTTCTGCCTCAAATGCATCGGCGAGGGTTTCGCGAATGACGGCGTCTTGCTCCTCTACAGATGTGGAACGCGATTGAAGTGCTTGGATAGCATGTTGGCCGACTTCGATCTTGGCAGGTGCGGGGAGATTGCGGAGGGCGTCGATAAAAGCATCGAGTAGAGGGCGAGAAGCGATAATGCTCACGCCATCACCTAGAATAGATCCTAAAAACGCGATAAGGTTGTGTGCAAGTGTGGAGGGAGAAGATGATGATATTATCGATGAGAGGAGTTCGTTGTAAAGCTGGGACTTGGTTTGCTGGTTTGATGTTGCGTCAATTGTTGCCAGTGCAGAGGTGACTTCTGGCGAGGCCATTATTCGCAGAACCTGAGCCTCAGTCGGAAAGTGACTCTCATGAGCCTTCGATGAACTGACCCTGTACGTCACAGCTTGTTCAAGCTATCATGCCTTCAATGAAAGCTGGGGCAGCTTAGTCATCGTCTGTGACTTCATCGCGCCGCTGCTTATTCGCCTCAAGCTGCAACCCGGCACGCTTCATTAAAGACTCGTTTTATTGACTCCCTACTAACAGGTAGCGGACTGCATTTTGACGAGTAATCAATTTTTTGTGCGTCATCTTTAGGAATAATGTCGAACGCTGGCGCCCCGACCTTCAAAACGGAGCCAACTCCAGCAATCAAATCGGAGCCTGATACCAAAGATATCGACTCTCCGATGCTATCTGACGATGACATATATGAAGATGCTGGTGATTTGGATTTTGCAAGTGCTGCGCAAGATGTGTGGTTAACGCGAATTCCAAAATCTCTATGGGAACAGTGGTCAAAGTTAGATGACGATGAAGAAATACAGATTGGGACTGTGAGGGTAGAAGGCCCGGCCACTGATATTAAAAGGGTATGTTACTAGTATATATTTTGAGCTCTTGCAATTACCTTTACTAATCTCATGAATCTAGATCAGCCTCAGATTACACGACGTTCCTCAGAATGAGGGTGTGCCGAAAGATTACAATTTAAAGCGCCAAAATATCAACGCAGACCGGACAGCTTACACCGTACAAAATACATTTATATTTACGGAGAAAGATCTTCCAGGGTACAAGGATAGGACTCATTTACTGTTCAACGAAAACCAGCCGCACGGTCGATCATACGTATACGAGCAGATGAAACGAGACTCGCGAAGGAAAGAAAATAAAAAGAAATGGGAACCATATGCGAGGAAGACAATACCTAGTATGTTAGCTTGGATGATTTATGTGCGGAACTCTCAAGCTAATACATTTATTAGAACAAACAGCAATCGCCGCGCGTGTCCACGATGAATTCAACTGTCTTCCTGTTGAGAATGAAGAGTACCAGAAGATAGCCGAGAAAAGAGCTTTGGAAGCACTCAAGCCTAAAAGAGAAACCAAATTTATTGAAAGAGTCACGGGTAAAATGCTACAGCCGAAAACTGCTCAAGCCGCGGACAAATCCAATTTTATTGTATGCCCTCCTTTTTTTTATCTATTTTTTCCATCGTTAATACGCAACCAGCAAGTTACGAAACCTGCGAAGGTACGATCGCTGGACAACAAGACGGCTCGTATGCCGCAAAACGAACTCCTGGACCTTATATACGCTTGCTTCCGGCGATACAGATACTGGCCGTTTAAGGCTCTCAGAGCTGAACTCCGACAGCCGGAAGTTTACCTCAAGCAAACGTTGGAGATGGTTGCTCACTTGGTGAAAAGCGGTGATTTCGCCATGACGTGGGAGTTGAAGCCTGAGGCTCGAGAGGCAAATTACGCCAATGCCATGGCTTATAATGGTGCTAAGCAAGAGCTAGCCCCGACCACACTGGATGAAGGGTCCGAAGGAGAACCCACGGCGTCAGGTCTAGGTACGGATAATGACGACGATGAAACGAATATTAAATTTGAATCAGTGGTTTGAGCGTTGTTGCATTTGGGATGGGCATTGAGGTTTAGGGGCAGTGACCGGCCCTTCAAAAATCTATTTAGGTATGGAGCACGGAGTACCATAGGCATATACGGAGCATGTATTATTTACCTTAGATAAAATCTTAAAATGTGTACAATAAAGTATCTCACTTCGTCATTTCTGCCCAATGTCAACCAGTACGGTTGTTTGCGTATCTGGTCACGGTCCGACAGAAAAAGAGAATCATATACCAGGCCTAATTCGCGGCCTGGGACAGGGGTCATCAAAATAGATACAGACCCATGTGAACAGTCTGGATGGACCCCATGGCTGGTCACCTCAGGAACAGGAAGCCCAGACTTTCGGGCAGCTTGCCGGCCCAGGGGCGTAATGTATAGCAAAATGTTGAAGGTATTTGTGGCAGATGCCAAAGAGCCGATGGATGCTAGGAGAGAATGGTTGAGGGGTGTCGGGTATTTCGCTAACAAAGGGAGGAAGAGGGTTTGGCCATGTGAAATTGGGGAAAAGAAAACGAGGGAGTATTGAAGATACTCATGCCGAAGAAGTATTCAAGGGCAGGCCCTTGATTTTTTCAAGCAGAAGGCGACAGTCGTTGTCTTTCAAATCAGAAAACGGGGTTATGGTAAATATTTCGAGGTGGATTCAGCGGAAGCCAGTAAGGGAGTACAACAGCAACTGCGGATATGGGTGACATCAGCCTTCTACTCCCTACAGACTAATTTTTAATGTATAATGAATTGCAATGACCTTCAATGAAGCTCACAAGCACAACATACAGATCAGAGTACAAGGGGTGTACTCCGTAGATAATGTGAATATGCCATTAAATGCACATATAGCACTTTTTTTTGGATAAACTGTAGCCAAGAGAGTCGTTTGTTGCATCCCTTTGAAGGTGTCTGCCTTAAACAGTACACCTTAGGAAGAGCATGGAGTCCAAAACCTGGAGTTGAATCAGAATTCAGGTGCAACCGCATCCGGAGGTTTCCCGGATCTACTAAATTCCGATGTGGGTCCTACCCACCTTCCAAGCTCTCACAACCGCTCTTTGTACACAACTTCTCTTGATAGAAACTACATATTCGAACTCCAGAATGAGTGAAGACCAAAATTTAATGGCCCGGATCGGCCATCTTGCCGGTACTACTTTCTTATGATTCTTCTCATGCGATCCGGCACCGACTAACTAGATAATCATCAGGTCAGATCAACCAGCATAAGAATCAGCTTGCAGCACCTTCGCGAGGCGTATACTCTGGCGGCTCCTCCTATGATACCCATGGCGGTCATCACAGAGGTTACTCAGGCTGGGCTCCATATCGTGGTCGTGGTAGACCGGCCTCAAGACGCCCTATCGGGCCGCATCGACACCGGACTCTTGTGCTCAATAACTCGATCACCACCCCTGACACCACTAGCACTGCCCCATCTGCCAGCATATCTAATGACGAAAAGGGGGATCCAAAGACTCCGCAGCAAAATGGATGGGTAGCGAAACGCGATCGCCACATGCAGCTCATTAACACCGCTATATATGACCAGGAAGCCCAGGCTAGGGCAAAGGCCATCGAAGAAACGCGTAAAATAAAAGCGCAAAAGCGGGCTGAACGAGATAAAACAAAGGTTTTACAGTTTGCACAACATGCCGGTGGCCTAGTGTCCGCGCCCGACGCGCGCGTTGCTACTGCAGGAGCCAATTCGTACAGGATTGTTGTGCAAGACATTCCATTTCAAATTACAAAAGGGGGAAGCAAACTGATTAGACTATCCAGTGAGGGTGATCCTGGGTTTGAAGGCGATTTAAGAGCTGGCTTACCGTTAATAGACGATCCCTCAACCGCGAGTACAACTCCGAAGAAAGTAACCGTGGGTGGCGTGATATTCGTCAGAAGTAAAAATGGGAATCTGCATCGACTAGGAGCAGTTGTGTCGAAGAAGTGCGTTTGATATATTGCCAGGGATCATCGAGTGACTAACAAGAGATAGGAAAAATGGAGTGGTTAGAAAAAAGAATGAGCTGTGCCAGAGGTTTACTGCGACGGGTACTCTATCACTCTCCCTCCGAGACGCTTATTCCCTGACGGCTCTACGCCCTTCGAAAATTGGAACAGCTCGATTTCGATAAGACAAAACATCCCTGGTAGGAAGATACTAATAACCCTGTTCTTACTGTCTAGGTTCCTGCTACAAGGGCCCCAGGTGCCCCTACACCCACGACCCCAACAAAGTTGCCATATGCAGAGAATTTCTCCAAACAGGTAAATGCAATGCCGGCCTTGCATGCGATCTCTCGCATGAACCTTCCCCAGAAAGATCGCCAGCTTGTATGCATTTCATCCGCGGCCGCTGCTCCAACCCCGCCTGTCGATACGCGCACATACGCGTCACCCCTGGAGCACCCGTCTGCCGTGACTTTGCGATTCTGGGATTCTGCAGCAAAGGCGCAGAGTGCCTGGAACGCCATGTGCACGAGTGTCCGGACTATGCGAACACGGGCAAGTGCGGCAAGCAGAAGTGTCTGCTGCCGCATATTGACCGGGCGGGCCAGATTCGCAAACTGGCAGCTAATAAAACAGAGCCTACCGATATGGAAGGCGTAGAGAACGACGAGGAGGATATCTCGAGTGAGGAAGATGTGTATGACGAGATTGATTCCGATGATGTGGACTCGGATGAACTGGAAGATGACGAGTCTGAAGAGATTATCCCTGATACTGTTTCTGGTGTAGAGCTTACAGAGCAACAGGACTTTGTCAGGTTCTAGGGCTGGTGATCTCGAAGTTGCTAACAATTAGTACATCATATCAATTTCAAAAGGTAACAAACCCTTTTACCCATCTAACGATATCATCAATATGGGATATTTTCTCGACAGTGCTCAGGGCTCTTTGAGCAAGATATTTTGTCCTAGAAAATAGAGCATCACGTCTGAAGCTTCCATTGTCTCTGAATGGTGGAACCTACTTTCTTTTATTCCCAAAACACCCTCCTTTGTCTGTTTTCTTTACTATCTTTTTTGTATGACTCCTCTAGGCGTTTGGGTTACAGGAAAGTTTTGCCAGGGGGAGCAATTTTTTTTTCAATACTGCGGGCCGTGAATTAAATGAGCGCATTGAAGAGGCGTTGCATTTTTTTTATTGTTTTGCGGCATTTGCAATATCATTACGACATTTTTCTTGTGCTGCATAGGCAACTACATATTCAACAGGACGAGAATGGAAAAGAAAAAAAATTTGAATATGTATTAAATCCTCGTAAACCTGATACAATGTCTGCCTACAGAAATGCCGCACAGCATACCAGCAGCACCTGACCTGCCGTTGTACTCCGACGACCTGGCATCATCCATCAGCTGCCTACGCCCCCTTCGACGAAGCTGGGTAGCCGTCAACATTTTCGCCTGTTCTAGGCAGCTGGATTAAACTCGCCTTGCTTCACCTACCCGAGTTTGCCCAGATGGCTGGCCACTTTCAGGCGAACAAAGGGCGACCACATCTAACTAAACAGTGTGATAGTGGTGCAAAAGCTGATGGTTTCCCAAAATCGTTGCAGTCCAACAAGGCGAGAAGGGGATCGATCTTCTGACACTACTCCCTCCTTCCCAACAAAAAAGGTTTTCCGCCCTATATTTGCTCCAATGAATCATAATAGCATTTCCACAGGGTTGCCGGTCTGGTTTTTCGAGCCACCGAGGCCTTTATTCCCCGTTCATTTGCCGTTTGTTTCCGTGTGATATAGGGATCGGCGTTGGGGCGGCCAGCAGAGGTGTTGGTGATGGCCCCAAGTATTGCCTACCCGGCAAGCAGCTTTGCATGGCCTGCGATTGGGAGGGAGGGGGGAGTACTACTACAGGATGAAAAACAAGGCAGAATGGCGGAATCGCCGGGCTACCAACTGCCGTGGGAGGACTGTTTTTTTGGTACTCTTTTTTTTGCTGCGCGTGATGGTCCAGATGGGCTTATGTACTATCTATAACTGCCCCAGTTAACCCCAAACCCAACCAAGTACAATCAATAATAGCTGATAAACAACATTGAAGTGGCAAAAGAAACAACTTGCCTGGGCTTCCCTTTTCCATTTATTGGTCGAGCTGCCTAAAGTGGAGTAAATGTCGCTCTGGTCTGGATTAGCCTGGCTGCCCTTTTTTTTTTTTTTTTTTGTTCGGCTTCGCTGGAATCCTGTTCCCTCCAAACAAGAAATCTCTCGCCCCCAATTCTCTGTTCCACAAACATATTATTCGTAGTCGTTCAATCTCTGCCGTGCCTTTCCTGTCGTTCCTCTGGCTTCCTGCTGGGTAACCAGCTTTGCCCTACAGAGCGAGGGGGGCTAGCTGTCTCCCAGCAGCGGGATCCCGGCCGCTGGAGCTCCGGCCGATAGCGTTTGGCTATAGGTGAGTATTTCAAGCTCGGATAGACAAACAGGAGCAACGGCACACGAGTTTTCTCTCCCATGGAAACAAACGTCCATTGAGCTGTCAGTCCAAAGCCGATGAACTCGAGCAGTGAACGAACGACGCAAAAACATGAAACGATCATTGCACAACTGGTCTGTAAACCCGAAATCAAAAAAAAAGAAAAGAAAAGAAAAGACAACCCATTGCCAGACATTTAGTCGGCTATTCTCATGGCGGCCACGTCGAATTACCCGACATGAAGCCCCTGTACCCAATTTCTAATCATTCGCGCGCATATTGGGAGCGAAAAGGGAGGGGAGGGAGGCCGGGAGCCCAGGCAGCACATCGTGCGTTGCACCCATTGCCCCGTTGAAGCGGAGGGCGAAAAGAAAAAAAAAAAAGCTAGTTACGTCTTCGCGCCTCCGTGAGTCAGTGTAACCACAACAAACGGCCTGGGTTCTCGTATTCATCCGGGCCTCTCTGGCAGCGACAGCGCGATTCAAGCCATTGTAGAGGTATGTATGTATGTACATATGTATATGCGACATGGGAATAGTTTGCAGAGGGGAGGGATCGTTGCCGGTATGGGCAGGAATGCATTGCTTGGACCTAACCACGGGCCACATGGAGTGTTGTTGCTGGACCCGGCTAGAAGTGGTATCTCTGGCTGGGACCGGAGACTTGAGGGTCGATAGGAGCTGACGTACATAGAGGAATATTATACGGCTCTCGTCAGGTCGACAACAAAAGGGAAGGGTGTATGGAGAAGCGACTCGGTTTGTTGAAAGTGGAGTCGGGAAGCGTTGCAGAAGTGTGGGAATGCTAAGGAATCGTGTATGATTGACAACGCTGCTGAATATAGAAATTGAGAATCGTTGCGTCGACATCAAAGGCCGCAGGATGAAAAAGGGTTCATGTACGTTTAATTAGTTCTGGTTGATAAGACAATAGCCCAGTGTGTTTCATGTGTGAACAATCGTGCTTCTAACTCGCCGCGGCAAAGAGGCCTAAGAGCAAGGCGAAACGTGGCGGGCCGTCGAGAGGTCGCGTTGTTTAAGAAAGTGCAGTCAAAACTGAACTGGAAGCATATAGTATCTTCGACATTTAAATCTCGACTTACTATTTTCAGTTGATGGGGGTCGGATAGCCCATCCGTTATACATGCATACAGTTGTTCATGTTCTGCGACAGCTATACGAATCGAGGAAACAATAGATTTTCTTTTTATTTTGTTTTTCGAGAGAGGTAGCAATGTACAAGGCACAAATGTGGCGAAAACTGAGGTCGGGTATCAAAGCCGTTGGCGCGGTTGACGCGGACTGGTTGCATCGACCATGGAGGGGTGGAGCCTCGAACAAAGAAGAAAGAAATAATGTCAGGACAGGCGCATGCATGTGGGTGCTGCATGCGCGAGAAAGAAGAGCAGAGAGAGGTGGGAAAGGAGAGGCCATGGTGTAGGTACCACCGACCAAAGGGTGGTTCTCAGAGCCTGCAGGCGGCAAATAAGGGAGATGAGAAATTTTGATCTGCTCGATGACGTTTCTACACCTGCGGTGCGCGGGCTCTTCCCCAACCCACGGGAGAGGGCGCATGCAGAGGAACAGAAGGGCTTGCTTTTTCCTGCCAGACAGTGCTAGAATGTGTCGAGTGTTCCAATGTGCATTCTGCAAGCCGGGAAATAATTCGTTATTCTGAACAACGATCGGGATGCAGAAACCGAAATTGAGAGCATACTTTATCGGGCGCAACCCAAAAGTAAAAAAGAACAGCTGTTTTTGGTAGGCTAGCCAAGAGCTCCCTTGTAGCTCGTTTTGCGTTTATGCACGCAATTTCTGGCATCCGACGAGGAGCCCAAAGAGCCCAGGGTGAAGATGGTGGTGCGGCAGAAGCTCTCGGGTAGGGCCTTCAAAGTCTTCCATAGCAAGACCTGGCTCTGGAGCTGCACAGCAATAACAACGACGACGACAACAGCAACAACAAATGGCCCGTGGGTCGAGCGGAAGAAAGCTTGTTGCACAGACAAGGATTCCCAAAGACGCACAGTACACAGGCCCTGGGCGGAGGGAGGGGAGGGGCGATTGCAGGGGGGGCAGAGAGAGCAAAGAAAGAGAAAAGAAGGCCAAAGCTCCCAGCACAACTCACTAACTAGGGAGGTAGTTATAGGCACCATGACCCTGTCTCGATCGCGAGGATCCTGCCCGCGACCAGATTTCGACGATCTGGAAAGGGGGGCCCTGGTCTCCAGAGGGCGGGCAGGCCCGGTGCGCGTTTTCCCGCCCAGCAGCAGTGAGTGAGTGGGCTGACGAGAGTATGTAACTACCTAACCAGCTCGAAGAAGTCCATGTGACATCAAGAGGGGGCAAACATCACGCCGTTTTCTGACGACGGGGAATAGGGATGGCGCGACATCTGAGATGCGCCACTTTGTTTTTTTTTTTTTTTCTTCTCTGGGGGAGCAGCGAATCGCGGCGATCAAGGGCGACGGGGCCGCTGGTCATGGCTGTAGGTATATCATCCCCGTGTGTAGCCCAACCGCAGCCACCCGCCGCTCCCGACCCGAGGTACATACGTACGCACGTACATGGTGACCAGGGCGGGCAGCACGCTGTATGATAGGCGCGGGAGATTGATAAATCAATCCCACACAAGTCAGGATGATGCTGGCGGGGGAGACTGATCTGTCCATGTGGGCAGGCGAGTGTCGTTGGCTGGCAGAGAGCGAGGGAAAACCAATGTGCATTTCATCCAGCAGATTCCGGCGAGCTATTGGACGACAGGAGCTGGTGGGACGGAGAGCCGATATGGGATTGGAGAGGAGGACGAGAGAGGGGAAGGGCGAGGAGAACGTCGTGAAGTTTCACCCGTATCTAAGGCAAGGGTCTTGTAAGACGGTCCTATTCTTCCACAGAAGATGGAATAATAATAGCCAGTAGTGCCTGGAGAGACGGTAGCCCCCATCTCTTTCTCTCTCCCTCTCTCTCGCCCTCTCGCTAAAGCCCGAGGGACAACATCGCGCCCCCGGTCTCGGCCCTGCAACAACGAAACATCGCGAAGAACGCACGACAGCCAATCATCGCCTGCTGACCTCAGCCATCAGAAACCGCGCTAGTTCCGTGTCGGGCCTAGCGCCGGGCGCAACTTGCAACGCTTGGCTCGATTGCGTGCTGAGTCAGCGCCGTGACGGCTTCGTTACTCTGTACGCCGGTATATTACGGTTTGTTCCAGCGGGCGCCCGCACAACAACGGTCATTACGGCGTAACGCGGGCCGCCCCGCCCAAGTAGTTAGCCCGCCAAGCCTCCTGGGGGGGTCGGGGGCAACGACGACGACTGACGACGATGCCGGGCGCCACTCGCTGATGCCCCCGTGATGCGCCGGCTGATCGCATTTCCCCGCAAACGCTGCCAGTGGTCTATACGCAGGAGAGGGGAGAGGGGATTGCTGAGGAATAGTTAACTAGTACTAGTGCGGGTGACAGCGCAGGATTTCGGAACGCCTGGGAGAATAACCCAACGCCCCGTTGTTGGTCTGGATGCGAAGGCGAAGGGGATGGGTTTGAATCCTGCGCGGGTGGGGAGATGGAGATACAGAGAGGGAGAGAGAGAGAGAGAATGGAGAGAAAGAGACACTTGGTGGTCTGGACTGGCAGCTGTGTGACCGGGTCTGTCTTGGAGTGGGAATTTCTTGGGTGTAGTAGTTATGTGCGAGTGTGGTCCTGCGCAGACGGGCTTGCCATCCGACCAGAGCTTTTGGCTCGGAGCGTTGGAAGTAAGTGTACGTACCAGGAGAACCGCGGACTGGGTTAGAATCTACGTATGTGCGCACACTATGTACAAATGTGCATAAATAAATACATGGGACGAGCCAGACAAGAGAGCGGGGAGGGAGGAAGAGAGAACTAGTGACTTAGTTACATCCAAGGTCTTGGTGACCATGATGATACCTGAGGCGCAGTGAAGTACTCCAAGAGCACTGCAACATCTCTCTTCTGGTTTGTGGAAGGATGCTGGGGGGGAAAGGCCTTTCGGGCGAGGAACAGCGACGCTTCATCGATATGAGTCATAGCCAGGCCCCCAAACGTCGCCTGCGGGTCGTCCAGAGAGAGGCATGTATGTAAGTATGTACGTCCTACATATGCATGCCCCCCTAGGAGAGAGGGGGGGGAAGACCCTCCGTTTCGGGGCAAAAATTTCTATATATATATATATATATAGGATGACCCCACCCTGCAGTGAAGCATCGCTTGGCTTGGGCAGCGACACTAGGACCAGCCGGCGTTGGGAAAAGCCGATCTTCACGCAGCAGTCATGAGATACGGGCAGCAGCAGCAGCAGCGGCGGCGGCGGAGATGACAGGCCGCATGCAGCACACGGCTGCAGTCACGGCTACTGAAGCGGCGTCGACCCTATGGCGCCTGCAGGACGGCGATACGAATCTGCACGGTCGTCCAAGCTCCGGGGTCTGTTTCTCTCTTTTTTTTTTCGGCCTGCTGATAAGATAAGTTTCTACACCTTGGGGCTTCACTACTGCTGCGAATGGCAATTGTTGTCATCTCCCATAGGCCCAGGCCCAAATACATACATACCTGTATGTCAGGGACACACCGAGGGCCAATACAACGGGCGCGGGCGGAATTTTTTGCGTTTCCTGGCGAGCTGATGGCAGTCCGAGATGTGAGGCGTTCAGGCACTCGCGACGGTGGGAGCTGCGTGCCTGGCCAAAGCTGGATGGGGGCCTGTGAGTGGCCGCGAGCACACGGCCGGAGGGGAAGGGGGGTCCCTCATTCCCCATTTCGCGGTCCGGAGGATATCAGCGGTGAGGGCCGGGATGGACGATTGGCAGGCTGCCGGAGAGGGGTGTGTGTGTGTGTGTGTGGGAGCAGGGCTCGCATAAGGTTCCTCGGGGTTCTCTCTTGGTGCTTGTCTCGCTGCTTGTCGCGAGGGAGAAGAGAGCGAGGAGAGCGAAAGCCTACAGCCGCGCGCGCGCGCGCCCTTGCAGCGACACGCCGGGTAAGGATGTAGTTAGCTATCATAGGACCACGGGCGGGCGACGGGTGTCCAGCGTCAGCTGTAGGTAGTCAGTCAGTCAGTCCGTCCGTCGTCTGTCGCACGTCGCACGGCCGGGGGATCTCGCCCGCGACCCAGCGGTAGACGCAGCGACGAGGGGGATACGACAGGCTGGCGGGCGGGTCATCTGGGGGAGAGAGAGCAAGCAAGCGAGCCCGCTTCACCGGGCGTCGAGCGAGCGAGGGAGCACGGACGGGGCCAGGCCCAGCCAGACCAGGCCAGCAGAGAAGAGATATTAGTCTATTATTCGTGTGTACTCCGTGTGAGGAGATGAAGACATCTTTCGCTCAAGGTTTCAGGAGCAGGCCGCAAAGGGCGCCGGGGGAGCGAACCATGGGTCGGGGCGGGCCAGGGAACCACGGGCGGCGAGGGCGATAGTGGTGGTGGTGGTGGTGGTGCTGAAACAGGCGGCCTGCTCGTGGGCGTGCGGGCAGCGGCTGCATGCGTGCCCAAGGGGATCGAGGCACCCAATCGCGGGCGCGGGCTGTGGCGCCCTGTTTTGAGCGCCGCGCGCAGCGCGCTGGGACGACGGTAAGTTAACTACAGCGCGCAGTCCGGCCTGGCTGCGACGATGGACTGACGGACAGACAGACTGACTGACTGACTGACACATACATACACAGGCACACTCGCTGCGCTGCTCGCGGAGTGGCCAGTTGACTTAACTACTTACTGCGGCACTTCTCTACACCAGACGCTCCCGCTAGCCCGCCAACCCCGCCTGCCGCTCACCGCCCTCACCGCCTCTTCAACCTCCCGTCTCACCACTTCTCTTCTCCTCTCTTCACCTCACCTCACCTCACTTCCTCTCCTCTCCTCTTGTCCCTCTCTCTCTCTCTCTCTCTCCCTTCCTCTCCCTCCTCTCTCATCCTCCCTCACTCCCACACTCTCACACTCTCACAATGGCGAAGTTCTCGCATCCCACGTCCTTCGACTACTTCCAGCAATCGCCCACCCTCGACGCCAAACCACTCTTCTCGCCCGACGACGACATGAGCGTGCTTGACGACAAGATCCTCGACTCCGCCAGCTCGCAAGACCTGCCGGCCCCGCGCCGGCCTTCGTTTGACCACCACCCCAGCCCCGACGCCGCTGCCGTATGGCCCGACCTCGCTCCCCATAGCCATCATCATCACCATCACCACCACCAGCAGTCTCTCTCCGACACGCCCTCGCGACATCCCTCGCAGCTCTCCACGCCGCTTTTTGAGTCGATGCCCGCCCCGTTTGTGCGCGCCTCGCAGCCCTGGGGCCTCCCCTCCGACTCCGGCTCCTGCACCCCAACCCCCATCTACGAGCACTTCCCCCACGACTTCGATGCCGCCGCTGCTGCCGCTGCTGCTGCGTCCCACCATCCCTTCGCCGGCGGCCCGCTCCAGCCCGCCGTCTATCCCGCCATGCCCTACCGCCCCGGCTCGACATATGCCCAGCCACATGCCCTGCCCATGTCGCCGCAGTCCAGCCACGGCTGGGTCGCTGCCGCCGCCGCCCCCGAGCCCGCCGAGATCCAAACCAAGCCCGCCCGCAAGAACTCCTCCGCCGGCCCGCCCTACCGCGCCGCCAACCTCCACATCCGCCGCGACGGCATCCGGAAGAAGAATGCCCGCTTCGACATCCCCGCCGAACGCACGTTGAGTAATATCGACCTGCTGATCAGCCGCTCCACCGACGAGGACGAGATCAAGGAACTCAAGCAGCAGAAACGCTTGCTGAGGAACCGACAGGCGGCGTATGTGTCATTGTCCTAATTTATTTTTTTTTTTAATTGTTAATTTCTTCGCTAACATCGACTACAGACTTGACTCGCGCCAACGAAAGAAGGTGCACACCGAGCAGCTGGAGGAGGACAAGAGACGGTCGACCTCCCTGATCACCGAGCTCCAGGATGCCGTCCGGGAGCTGAAGCTACGGGAAGCCGAGCTTCTGCAGGAAAAGACCGAACTGTTCGAGAGCCAGCAGCAACTGCGACAGTACGTTGATCGCCTCCACAGCGAGAAAGAGGAGTTGATTCGATCGCACACCCTGGAGACAGGCGAACTGCGAAAGAAGAACACCATCCTGCGAGAGCACATAGAGAAGCTGGAGCAGGCGTCCACGTCAGGCGCGCTCTTCCGCAACGACTTCTCGGATTACGACAGTCTGACCGTCGACGGCACCGGTTGGGATGACTTCTCCATGGGCCATGAGTTCTCGCTCGACAGTGACCCGCGGTTATCCATTCGCAACCCGACACCGGTGCCCGAGAAACCGCTCACTACCGTCCTCAGCAAAACGGACAATGTTGTCGAGAAGCTCTCGTCGCAAACAGAATTCCCGTTCAGCTGGAATGCGTTCTACATGTGTCTTCTGTTTGGCGCCTTCGTCGCCTCCAACGGCTCGTCCATGACCGCCACCGCCATCCCTCCCCTCTCTGAAGAATACCGTGCCGAATCCGCCAACGTGCTCAAGGCCGTCCTGGCGTCGGCAAGCCCCGTCCAGCCCACCCACTCCTTCAGCCTTGCCACCCTCGCCGGTCCCTCGGCCACTACCACCACCTCCGCTCTCCCGGCCACCATCTCGCGAGCCGAGATGGCGCAGATCTCCTCCGGCCAAGACACCACCATGACCAACCTCGACGACCTGCATCGCAGCCTCGTCGTGCCCACCAAGGAGCAGGAGGCCCAGCAGGCCTTCGCCATGACGGCCGAGCGGTACAATTCCCTCACCACGCTCGACGACGACGAGGGCGATATCACCCCGCAGCCGTCCAATCTCCAGCAGGCGTATGCGCTGCGCAACAGCGCCCTGGGCATGAAGAGCACTGCGGACGTCTATTCACGTTCCCTGCTGTGGGACCGCGTGCCGGACAAGGTCGTGCGGGATTTCAGACGGCTGGTAAAAGACTGCGGCATAAGCGTCGATAAACATGAAGAACCGGGCGGTGCAATGTGCACGGTCTAGTCCTTCCAAGTCTCCGATCACAGAACGTGAATTTGGTATACCTGATTAACGACACTACTTTGGCTCGACGCCATCTAAAAACCGAATTTCCTTTGTCGTTCTTACATTCTCTTCATTTTTATTTTCTTTTTATTTATCGGCTGGGAGCATCACGTTTGAACGAACAAAAGAAGATACGGCCGGTTATGATGCATTTTAGAAAGCGTCGATTTTTCCTCTTCTTTTAAACCAGATTATGATGATGATCACGAATCACACGGCTGTCACGATTGCAACGACAAGCAGGCTCCACTGCCCCTCTGACTACTCCCATTGTCCATGGGCCATGACTTTTTTTTCCCTCTATTCAAACTACTTACACAGAACCACACTCCTTTATTCTTTCCTTTGTTCTTTCTTTCTTTTTCTACAATATTCAGTGTCTCCCCTCTTCAGTGTTCTATTTAGGTATATCCAAATTCAACAGCCACGGACCGTCACCAACCACACCGCCCTTTTCCTATGTCTGTCTACTCTTTTGGGCAACTGCTTTTTTTTCACAGGGGTAATGTGTTTATAGGATCTGGACTCAGCTCTGATATGAAATTTTTAGCGTGTTGGTTCCTTTTTTTTTATGACTGGACGGGTCTTGCTTTTTGTGCTTTTCTCCACAGTAGCTTCGCTGGCTTTTTTTTTAATCTTGGGTATAGCGAGTTTTTGTTGCTGCTCTGATTTCTTTCTGATATTTTTTTTCTCCTGTGCTTTTATTTCTGCCCATTATTCTTCGCGCCAAGTTTTTCCGTTTTGCTTGTTTTCTGATGCGACTATGACTTTTTGACATGACACACACATGATATAATGACTTGATGGCTATGACAAGATGCGCGTGTCGCCTTTTTTGTTGTTGTTTTTTTTTTTTTTTTAATTAAACAAAACATTTGGGCGCTTCTGCAATGACTGTTCTTCTGGTTTAGTCGCGACTCTAAAATCTGGAGTACTACTACTATGTATCTATTTAATACGTTTTGGCTGAAAATGTATCATGGGGCTCAAATTCCTTTTCTTTCCTCCCCACACACCCTGGCTATTTATTATTTTCGTCTGTGCATTGTGGTTTGGTACAAACACGGCGTTGTTGTTCGGTCTCGCGCGTTTTTGGGGGACCTCTGGAGGAAAATGGGGGGAATTGCATAGCGATTGCAGCTGGGAGGAGAATGGAGGGTTTAATATGGCACTCTTTTCGTTATATGATGCAGTTATTTCATGGAATTACATATGCTGCAGGGTTGTGTGAGAGTTTGCCGCCGATGAAGAGATGTCTGATGTAGCAGCATGCTGTCAGATTGCTTGCTGGTAAATCAAAGGGGCAAACTGCCTGGGGGGTAACTATATACGATAGTTCTATGATATACCCAGGTGACCCGCCCATTAAGGCCGCTCTGTGTTGCGGAATGCGTTGGGTGATGCACAGTGCGAAACTATATATTTCCAGCAAACAGAACGCGTTGATATCATTATCAAGCAGGGCAATCGTGCTATAAAGCGGGTTTTAAGCTTCCTTCGCGGCCGTTGACGCGAAAAAACGCGTCGAGCTTATTTAGTTAGTTAAGCTTCCGACTAGCTAGTTAAATTTCAGCGGCGACGACCGTCTTCGAGTTGCCCAACTCACGCTCTCAACCTCCCGCCCCTGATTCAGGAGGACAACCTCGATATCTACGCCAAACAACCTTCCCTGCGGGCACCTCCCCCTGGCCCCCTTTTTATCCGCCTCGCCACGAATCCGACAGGTTCGCACTCCGGAAGCATGCCTGTCCACCGCGAGCCGCACGCCGCCGCCGCCGCCAGATACCGCAATGTCTGAAATACCTTCGATCTCCCACTTCGCGCTCCCGCTGCCCCTCTGGCTGCAGCCCGTCAGCTACCGCACGGCCAAGTACGACCCGCCCAAGCGCGCCAAACGCGCCGCCGCCCGCGAGGAAGAGGAGGAGGATGACGACGACGACAACGACGATAACGAAGAAGGCCGCCTCGAGACAGACAATGAGGAGGAGGACGTCGACCGCAGCTTCGATGTCGTCGCGGCCCGCCGGTCTCGCGAGAGCACGGTGAAAAGCGAACGCTCGCGGCGCTCCGTCTCGTCCAGCGCCGCCGCTGTGCTGACGCCCGCCGAAGCCCACCAGTACCGCGTCGCCGGGCACGCGCCCGAATCCGACCTGCCCGGCGGCAACTTCCCGCACTCGCGGCGCGGCTCGATGTCCTCGGCGGCAACACCGTTCGTGGCGCCGCGGCGCCGGCGCGACGTCGAGCGCGACCTGGCGCTGCTCAACCCGCCCGTGTTCGCGCGCGGCAGGTCGACGATGGCGCGTAGCACGCTGCGCCTGCGCCACCTGGGCGTGCTCACGACCATCCTGCACCGGTGCCTGCTGCAGGGTGACTATGTGCGCGCGGGCCGCGCGTGGGGCTTGCTGCTGCGCGACGAGTGGGGCGGGCATGCGCTGGATGTGCGCACTGAGGGCCGATGGGGCGTCGGGGCCGAGATCTTGCTGCGGAGCCGGAACGGCGGTGATGGTGGTGAAGATGATGATGGGGGTTGGTTCTCGCGCGCCGGCTTCGACAAAGCGAGATACTACTACGATCGGCTGGTGCTGCACTTCCCGTACCGCAAGCACGCCCCGCACGCCCTGGGGCCGTTACATTTCTACCCGGCCATGTTTGGCCTCTGGATCTCTGTCGTGCAGGAGGAGAGCAGAGCCGCGCGTGAGGCGCCGCTCGACGAGCCCGAACCCGAGTTTATCTACGATCCCAACGAGAACATGTCGATCTGCAGCGGCACGGCCTCTGACGACCGCCGGCGCCGGGCACAGGCCGTAGCGCGCGCGCGCACCGCGGAACTCGACGAGGCGCAGCGCATCGCCGCGCGCCTGGACGACCTGCTCGTCTCGCCGCCGTTCTCCGACAGCTACGAGCTGCTGCGGCTGCGCGCCATGATCTCGCTCTGGATCGCCGACCTGTTCGTGTCGTCCGTGTCGCCGGACGATGCCGCTGCCGCCGCCGGCGGCTACGAGACCGACAACTTTGCCCCCGCCGCGCGCTACGACCACGATGGCGATGTGAGTATGGCCTACGACGAGCCTGTGGATTCCATCCTGGCGCGTATGGAAGAGGGCCTGGGGAATGAAAGGAAGGCCGCGGAGGTGGAGAAGGCCAGGGCGTTTTTCCACCGGGCTCGGAGGAGGAAGGAGGGCCCGCTGTCAGATATGGATAGATTATATATACGCAAGCTCCAGGAGTAGCCTTTAATTTCTCGTTCAGAGCGTCTGGTAGCCTTTTTTGATAGAGCAATTTATACCGCGTTGAGTTTGAGTTGCCAAATCGGGAGCGAGTCACGTGTACGCGGCGGGCGACGTCGTTGCGGCGGCAGAAAAACAACCAAAACAAACAACGACGTTCAACCGCCGTCAGCGTCGGGACGGATGAATGTCGGCCTGACGGTTCTGGATTATGAACCCTCGCTAAAAGTCCTTTTTTCGATTCTGCCATTCCGCAATTTCTCGTTGTTTAATTGTGTTTTTGCTGTTGTGGTTGGCTGGGCTTGTCCCTCCCATCGTTGTACTTCCAAAACTCTCTCAGGGATAGCTATAGCTATATCTGGGCAGCATGAAACTTACCGACTACGTGCACGGATCTATACCCCAGAACAATGACCGCCCGGCTTCTCAAGGCGCTGGAAAAACCATCCCCGCTTCACGCCTGCGCGCTGCCGAGCTGGCGCGCGTCAGCGTCCCACCTACAAGGCTCAATGGCTTCCCTGGAGCTCCCGCTCCCGGCATCAACGGCCACCAACGCCTGCAGGGCTTGCAGGCCCCGGCTGAACAGCGCAGTGTTTTCAACCAGGGCCGTCTGGAACATGGTGATATGTTCGATACCGATGTCGAAGGCATCGACGACAGCACGACTACCATGAGCCTCTGCAGAGAGGAGGATATCCCGCCGCCACCAGTGGCGGCTCCGGAGGAGCGCTTGGCATCGCCGCGCAGAGGCAAGGATAATGGAATCGTTGCTCGACGGCATGATGGTGATGCGTCGTCGGCGTCGCCGCTGCAGGCGTTGAATGCTGCGTTTGAGCCTCGGAGATATAGCTCTATTGCGGATCGGATGAAGGAACTGGACTCGGATGATGACGGCCAGGTTGCTTCTCCCGTGCGGAATCATGATCGTGTCGAGGCTTATCCTGATCACCATGGCGCTGGCGGGTTTGATGAGGATGAGCCTACGATTAAGGTTAGTGATCTGGTAGGGTATGGAAAGGAGCAGCAGCAGCCGCTGCCGCTTCCGATGAGTTGGCAGCAGATTGAGGCCGCTTTAAAGGAACCAAGTGATATCTCAGACCGCGTACACGTCTCTGAAAATACCTCTACGAACCAAGCTGAGCTCCAGGGTAATGGCACGGTTGAGATCGGACATGGTGGCCATTTTGACGCCATCCAGGCTACTACTACTCCTCGACCGCCTAGGAGTATTCTCCCTGGAGGTCGGTTCACCCCCAGGTCGCGATTTGTCACTCCCAGGCCTCCAAAACCCCCAACACCACTTTCAATATCTCGAATTCCACGCCCAATTTCTTTCCCTGGGATGCCGGACCAGGCGCTCTCTCCTCTTAACGCCGAATATCGCGCAGACCAGCTTCCACTCAGCCCTTCCCAAACCGACTCGCACAACGACCAGTACCACACCAACCAAGTCGGCATGTTCGACACCACCGATCTCAGCGCCCTAGACAGCTCCGAGGACAGCATCACCGAGCCCAACGCTCCAGCCACCACCACATCCCCCCAACTATCAACCCTCTCTCCCGTCTCCTCAAAACGCCCCTTCACCGCATTCACATCCGACTACCACCCAAACATCCTGCAATCCAAATCTTTCTCCGACCTACACACCGAACCCTTCGACTACAACCCGGCCCCGGCACCGCCCGTCTTCCCCTCACAGGACCCAGATCTGCCGCTGCCAGAGAAACTACAGCGCTTGAAATCCCTAACCGACGACCAGCGCCGCACTTTCTTCTCGTCTCTCACCCTCGCCGAATGGGAAGACAGCGGCGACTGGCTGATCGATCAGTTCAGCGCACTTCTGCAGAAGACGAAAGAGGCCCGCCGGGAACGGAGGCATGTTGCAGCCGTGTTTGAAGGCGAGATCAAACGCCGCTATGAGCTTGTCGAGGGAGAAGCAAAGGACATTCGGCAGCGGATGGACAGCATGAGAGCCGGCGGAATGGGGGTGTTGAATAACCAGGGACAATGAATTTGACAAAGTAAAAAAGTGCCAATTGCGTACCTGAGATTATGATGACTGCGGACGGTAATATACATTTTTTTTTAGCATTTTACGGCGTATATCACGGGGCATTTAACATGGCACACTGGGGAATCGGGGGCATATATGAGCGATGGTAAAAGGCAAGTTGCTAGCATATGTTTTTATTTAAGCCACCAGTATCTATTAATTTGTGGTAGGCGACAGAGCATAGCATTATATGTTTATGGAAGTGTCTCTATTTCAATTTTACCTGGTTTAAAATACGTCATATCCGCTTCATCCAGAAATGTCCAATCAAAATCTGACTCTATATCCAAAAGGAAGAGCACAGATACCAGTACAATGCTGCTAATGATATTTTCAACAGAAGATGTAGATGTTTTATGTCTCGTCAGGCCTCGGACGACAGAGGGGATGCCGAAGAGACGGGTTTCAATTGGCTCTGGTGGGCGTCCTCGCCTCGATAACCCAAACGCCTTGTTTTGGCAGGTGTTCCCGGATCACTTGGTTCTCCTTATGCTATTCCGCTGCCTCCCGGCCATGGTGTTCCGACACTCCATCAAAAATGGCATGAGCGAGATCATTGACGGCTGTGACATCGGGGGCAGATGTCCTATCGTGCTTTTATCAGCTGTGAGCTTTAGTTTTGTTTTCTGGAGAGCTCATACCGTGCACCAAGATGCATCTTGGATAAAATATAGATTTGGTTTTGATGGGCGTGACCAGCCCTTGTCCATTTTACGGCACCTTTATCGAATGAAAGTTAGTGACTCTGGTCTACTCCAATCCTCTTCTCTTAATGGGACTGGGGGCTAAGCTCACATATCGGCTGCCACGTCAGCCCGCTAGGGACTGTTAGCAGTGGTTACTAGTTTCTTATTGTAAGGAGGAGCACTCACCCTAAAATTCCCTATTCTTCTCTCTGAACCCTTCAGTTACAGCACATTTCTTGGTCTCGGAGACCTCGATGTCATGCTGAGGCCCCGCAAAGGCAGGTCCAGGTGGCAACAATGGCCCAGCACAAGACAAACTGGTATTGATGTACAAAAATACAAGACATCATTCAGCCTGTTCTAGTCCCTGGAACCTAGGAATGAATGTTGTTGTTGCTTGTTTGTTTTTCGGTCTCTGAAGGCGGAATCGTGGCTTTTAAGCAGGCCTGCTTGCTGTACAGCAGGTGCGAGTGGACGAGAGAAGCTGCGGGCTGCAGGGGAGGTAGGGGTGCTTCGTGGTGAACCCTAAGCTGTTTCCTCAGTGGCATTTCGCTGCAATACGGGAAGGTAAGGCCAATGATCTAAACGGCCTACCTAATAACTTGACCTGTAGCCTATGGAATTGAGCCTTATGGTCGACGCTACTCGACTATTGACTGTGACTTTCTTGCAACATACATATCCTCGATGATACCAGTTTGCGATATCTTGAGGTTGAAAATGTGGAAGATAATGCCTTCTCTTCCCTTCTCTCTCCTAAACTGCTGGGAATTTTACGGTTTGCAGTCTTAGATATCAAGATATGTATGTATGTAGCAACTCTACATATCACCAAGATCTACTCATGTTAAAATTATTTATCTTTCTCCTCAACTATCTCCCTTTCCATTCCAACGTGCTAGCCTCACGTAACCAGCTCCTCAAGCCCCCATCCATACATCAATGCACATATATGTGCATATATGCATACCCACTCCATACGATATGCTGCATCTAGCAATGCTGATCATTGTGATGAGTCTTGCTGGTAGATAATTCAGTTTGAAAGCTGGGCAAAGAAACAGGTTTTTTAGTATGCAGTAAGGATTGTAAAGCACGTGTTTCATGGAAGATGGAGTATTGGCTTGCTATTTTTACTCACTAGAAACTTGTTCAAGCAATATGGTATCAGCACCTATTGTGGAATGAATATTGAGTGGATCACTCACGGCCTGAATCTACTGGGTTTTCTAGCTAATTGGTTAAATGGGCAAGAAAATTAGGGTTCATTCAAAGTGTACAGAGTATTCGTTTTCGTTTTTAATGAGATGGTTATTCCTAGTTGACTTGACAAACATTCTTCCTCTTATGATGTGAAGAGTCAAACCTACAGTTTCTATTTAATACTAATCAAAGTTTGGGGCATTCTCGAAGCTAAGCATGGAATAAGGAACGGCCACAACCCTCTAATGCTCGCAGCGTTATCAACAGGGTGTGAACACCCCCATGGAGGAGACAGAAGTCAGACTGGCATTTAATTATGTTAAACGTGGCAATATACACAAACAGTCATCACAGTAAGTCATGGACAGAGAAGCAAAACACTGGTATACCCGAGTTTGCCCGTTCGGTAAAGTAAAATGAGGTTATGGATCCGCTTCAACGCAAAGGCGATGGGGAAGAACGCTATTCAACACAACTTGGGAAAGGGGACGAGGAGGAGGTCAAGGGGCTTACAACACCAACAGGCTCATGCAATGCATAACAAGAGAGACAGAGGGGAAGAGAAAGAGAGATACACACAACATTGTAGCAAGAAAAGGCAGCACACACGAAGCAGTGACTGCGAGTCAACTTCGTAGACGTCGCTCGATTCCAAGACGTAAACCGCGCGCCGCTACCATTCTACCAACCATGATGACGTCAAAAGCAAAGGGAATATTAAGGCATTTTTTCACCCGAAATGGCAACACACAAACGCCAAATGAAATGCCACGTAGTGCTGTAATACCTCCAATATCAATTTCGTGGAGAAAACCAAATGCAGGACCATAAACGCGCTTAGTCATCACGGTTTACTCAAAGAACATAAAGTGAAGGCCGTTTTGCAAAGACGATAAAGGAAGTAATATCAAGCGGGACAAGATATCAGGTAGAAAATTCTAACAGAAGGATGAGCTGAGTGGTATCAGGAGTAATATGTCAAGTAGCCATGGAACGATGGCGTGGAGATATCTATGCCGCATTCATTTCGGGCCCTGGAGGGGTCTCATGGTTAGAGTTTGAGACGCCTTCGCCTCGACATAATGGACACGAGTTTCGGCCGGTGGTGAGCCACTGTTAGGGTCAGTTAGCAAGGAGTGATATCGAAAAAGGGAGGTTGAACTTGGTACATGCCTCATCGATGCATTCACGGTGATACATATGTTTGCAGTTCGCCAACAACCGAACTTGTTCTTCAGCTTCATAGCCACAGAGGCAGATAAGACACCTATCGTTTCTGCCAATAAAGATGCGCTCTGACTCGTCCGCAGGCTCTGCAACTAGCGATTCTGGGTACCTAACAACTTGATAAAGACCCCCCGCGGAGGCGACCTCCTCCTCCGAAGCAACAGGTGGCTTAACGGGGCCAAGGAGGGAAGACAAGAGCATCATATCCTCATATGTAGGATTCTGCAACGACGGTTAGTATAAGATTCGTCCAGGTTCAAGCGTAATGCACTTACATCACTGAAGAGACTGGGTGCCGCAAGAGCTGGGTGATTTTCGGCCAAATTAGCACCGACAACATAGATTAACCAACTTCTTGTAGTGCTTGGTGATGGGTCATCTGGCTCCACGACTCCGTTTCGGCGCGCAGAGCCGGAACCAAGGCCGCGATGGCGGGCTGCTTCGGAATCACTACGTCGGCGCTGGCGTGGAAAATTGAACCCAGAATTTTGCTGAGCTGTGGCTTCCGCTTCTCCACTGGAATCTTCGTTCAACTGGGGAAGGAATGCGGATGCTGATGATGGTCTCCTGCTTGGAGTATTCACTACAGAGGATGCACCGGAGAGACCTGGATCTGCAGGAGTGGACGGAGGAGGGTTGGGGCCTGGAGGGCTTTCTGAAAGAACAGTTGGTAGTGAGGACGAGAAGTCTGCTAAAGAACCAACATCTGACTGTCTTCGAGAAGGGGTAGACATCCTTTGGGTTCGAGAGCTATCAGGGGCGGTGGGAATAGGATGCTCTGCGATAGAGTTGCGATTACTATAAAACCGAGGTCGACTATCGCCACGACGTAAGAAATTACTAGGCCCTCGTTCATGGCGGAGCATGTTTCCAGGTGAGAGAAATGGGAGACGCAAAAGCGACTCGACATTTAGTCTCCCGTTATTACCGGTCTCGGTGGCTGGGTCAGGGTTCGTTGGGATAGATCTTACACCAACCACAACCAGGGTCAATAATCGGCGTTCAGCGTTGTCATCTGTTGTAGTAGCACTATTGGCCTCTTCGGGGTCTCCAGAACCATCTTGTGCCTGGTGTGAAACAGTTGATTGAATTGAACCGTCCTGGCTATTGTCAGGGTTGACAAAACGGAAAACTCTCAGGAAGTTGACGTTGGGTAAGCCTCCTTCTGTCAGGTCATCACCATTACTTGAGCCTTCTTGCGAGGATGCTATCTGCTGAAGCCCTTGCAACAAGGATTCTAGCGGCCCGTCAAGTCCTTCGGAACCGACACTCTGAATATTAGGTGCACTTGGGCTCGTGTTTCCTGAAATTTGCGCGGCAAGAGCACTGGCTGCGAGATGTAATATATGTGACAACGGTGTTTGCGTCGCCTCGTCCCTTCTAAGCAGGCGAGTCGCTCGCGATCTAATGGTACCGGGCGATCTTCTAGGGTCTGAGATGCTTGGGATATAGCGTGCTGAGGGAGATGAATTTGAACGAACATGTCGGGCTGCTGGTTCAACAGAATCAAGTTCATGTGGTTCGTCGAGATCCATAGTCTCTACATTTTGTGGGCGAAGAGGGGTGTTGTCAGAATCTTCAGTGAATTCAGATCGGGACGGACGTCGGGGCGGAGTCGTAGAGGTTTGCGTTGAGGCAGAGGTAGATAGCTGGCCAAATATTTGGGATATCGGTGCTGCCATCGAATCACGCATGAGGTTCAAACGAGACTGGCGGCGCCAGGAGAACCGTCGTGAATCTGGAGATCTATCGGCATCGAGGAAGGTTGGGTTTGGGGGAGACTCGGGCAGAAGGGCAGATTCTCCGCGGGGCAAGGCATAGGGTCCACGGATCGAGCGTCTTCTTGTTATTCCCCGGGGTCCTAAACCTCTGAGGGCTGACGACTGAGCCGAACCACGGCTGTCTTGTCCCGAGGATCTGGCAAAGAAAGGAGTGCGATCGCCGCGTCCTTCTCTACTCTCCGGACGATCTTGTAGATTCCTCCTTAGCGAACTCGGGAAAATTCTTGACCCTAGCCTCGACATGGTAGACTGCCGGTGGGACGATGGGCGAGGATCAGTAGAACTTTGTGGCATCAAACCTCCCATATTTATATCTTGTGTATCAACAGCAGAAGTTGGTGTCTCTATCGATACAGGTCTCGGGGTTAAGACACTAGAATCTGAGATGTCGGACGTCGAACGAGAGGAGTTTTCGACCACGGCATCCCTCCCACCAGCAGCACGGTCAGATCGCATCATCGTAGAGCCCAGAGACAGAGTAGACCGTCGGTGCTCTTCAGAAGCTGGCGATCGGCGTAAAAACTCCGCCCTCTGCGAAGAGCCTGCTTGGCCCATCGTGACCAGCGACGATGAAGCTATGGGTCAAAATATTGGCAAGAGCAACAAAGGGGTCAGGTGTGCACTGCCATATCAACAAAAAAAAGGGGAAATCCTATCAAACATAAAACCTATCAGCCATTTACTTTGTCGCCTGAAGTCAAAGCCACATTGAAGTGGATCTTCTTGTCAAAAAAAAATCGTGGGGACGGAGGGAGGGAAGGCAGCGAGCGGGTCCGAAATTCGAGGATGATACTCACCAAGAGACAGTCAAAGAGATCTCACGCGTAGCTGAAACGGTGAGCACGATAAGTGGCTTGACGAGAAGCGTGACGAGTAAACAACGGGTAGGGGCACGTTTCCTAGGCTGTTTCAGCTGGCTTGCATCAGCAGCGCTTGGGGGCGGTTGAGTGGCTGAGAGAGGGCGGTCAGCGAAAGGAGCGGAGGCGAGCCACGGGCGAGAAGCACGCGACGAGCTGGCTGGCTGCAGGAAAAGCACAGCAGCACTTGAGGCCGCGAGAGCGAGCGAACGAGCGAGTGAGTGAGTGAGTGAGTGAGTGAGCGGTGCCAGCCTGGCGACGAAGCGAACCGATGGGGTGTTGTCGCGCAGCAAGGCCGGCCAGGCAGACCCGTTGCGCAGAATGACTTCATCGGCAAAACAATGATCCGGGCTAGTCGGGCGGCCGCCGCCACAGGGCCCGTGACGAGATGCTGCCACCGCGGTTGTGCGAACTTTTGTGGCGGTTTCCTGTGTGAAAGACAGCGTGTTTGTTCCCGGCCAGGCTCTTTTTGGCAGAGTGACACTCTCTCTGAGCTGCGATTCTGCAGTAGTGGCCGACGCAAGGCAGACGTCTTGCGCGATGAGTGTGAATATCACGTCTTCCCCCGGGAAGCCCCCCGTCTGGGGTCCCCAGACATCCAAAATGAAGTGCGGCCGTTCCTCGAACTTTTGATACTCTCCAGTGGCTGATTTTGAATAGCTTCTGTGAAGAGGTACGGCAAAACCGCGGTTGCTTCCAGGCAGCTGTGAAATATCAATTGCCTGGCCCTGCAATCTGGCCTCCATTATGCTCCATATACCCTGAGCCGTGTCATTAACTGCTCCACTAACTGCAGGACTACCATGTCACTGGATATGTCGGCGAATTTATCAATACCCTTACCAGCCTAAGCTATGGTCAGTGATGCGCGCCCTATCACTTGCATTCTGGCAGAAGGCTTAAGCGAATTTCCGCAACTGATTGCGTAATATTTGCTAACCCGGTATGGGGCTCCGCTTTCAGTATACTTGGGAGGATATGCTCTCTATCGCCAGCGATCCTGCACAACAAGAACGCAGTTCACCCATCATCTATCGTACATCTCCCTGATTATCGTTGGCCTAGGATCGGCAGGATATCATGCAACGTTGAAGTATCCGTTACAGTTAGGTACTCATGCTCTCCGTGAAATACTTTTTTTTTTTGGCCTGGTTTTCTCAAAGGGGAGATCTGTTGACGATCTTCGTCTTTTATCTTCTCCTTTATAGTTGACGATCTGTCCATGCTGCTGGGCGCCGGCATTATGTTCCATCACCTGCTCACCATACACTATGGCACAAGAGCTCGTGTTGGGCTATTCATTCTACTTGCATCTGCGCTCTCCTTGGCCGTTTGGGCACATATCAAAACTGGCGACTCGGCACTACACCAGATTGTCTTCGGCAGTATGATTGTGACCGTTGGCTTGCGCATGTTTAAGCTCTTAAAAACAATGATTTCAGATCAAAATATGCGTTCGAAGCTGCAACAATTGGCGACTCGAGGATACCGTAAGTATATTTGCTGAGTAAACTCGTTCATGCCTGGAAAACTAAGCACTAAGTCTATATCAGTTCTACTCGCCGCGGGATATGCATTATGGCTGATAGATGTTTTTGCTTGCCCGTACCTCAGAGCCATTCGACAGTCCGTTGGCTTGCCTCTAGCCTGGTTATTTGAACTCCACGGCTGGTGAGCGCTCCCTGGCTGCGCATCCCAACACATCATCTTCCTTGTAACATACTGAAATATAGCTAATACGCTATGTAGGTGGCATATTCTAACAGCCGCGGGAGTATACGTATACATGCTCCTTGGTGAGTACCTTCAGCCGGCACACCGGAACCAGAAATTGAGCCCGGATAGCGGCTGGATATCGCTACTAAAGGGCCCATTTGATCCACAGGATGATGACCCGGCCTTTTCCAATGCATATGCAAAGAAAACTAGCTGAATAAAGCTTAAGTTGATTAGTTGATGTACTCAGAATGGAGTACTCCATGCTCTACTCTCTCTTTGGTTACTACTTGTTAGGCTAACGAAGTTATGAAAATACCTCCATACATCTGCTTGTGAAATGAGTGTACATAAAATAAAATCCACAGTACTATCTACTCGGAGAAGTCCGTGTGGATTATTTGCTCCGCTGCTCCATATTCAAACCACCTTCCCTCAAGAGTTCAGCGCGTGTTTGAAATTGAGACTGAGAAAATGATAGCTGGCCCCGCAGATCATTTCCATTTCGTAGTTGGTGATAGGACGTGGGAGCTTGGGCTTCAGTCTCAAGATACGGAGAGGTCGGACGTTGGGGATAGCCTTCATCATCAGCTATCCCTTTGTTGTTTTTGATGTTTGATGAGACGGGAAGGAGACAAGAAAGGATCTACATGTCTCTGCAATGTTACCGAAAATCTTCCTCGAGTCATTTTTCCTGGGCGATCAGACACCCAAGGACATAAAATTGCAAAATTAAGCAGCAGGCGAGCTGAAAGTCCAGAGGTGAAGCTCTTGTTTCTCCAGGGCAGAGATGCCGGCTTCCGTTCAAGGCCGAAAGGTCTGAAGCGTCTCAGACCAGACAGAAAGCTAGCTTGCTCCCTGGTATCTGGACGTTCCGCTCATCCAAATGCCATACTGCCCAGGCCCTCGGTAGCTCGCCGGCGGCTTATTTCTTTTGGCCTATGAGATAGCCTTCCACATGGCAAAATTGTTAGCGGCATCGGATTTCCAGCCACCAAAGCACGCGGGAGGGAACCCTGGCGCCCATATGCCGGTATGCGTACGATCGGCGCGAAGAAGCGCATTATACTCCGTGGTCGATGAGTTTTCACTTCACCTTTCCCGCCGTAACCCACTAGTCAGTTATAGTAATATCATGATATCGTCACATTATATCATTTTGACGCGACAATCCGTCTTCTTCCGTGGGAATCCTGCCGCCTGCAGTCTACATACGCATGTCGATTTAACCTGATTTGCGAGCATTTGTTGGGCGGAAGTTTGATCGTTCAGAGAATCAAGCCGGAATATGATTTTGTCGGCCGCAGCGAGTCATGCGATGGTGGGCAGCATTATTACGATTATGGTTATGCTTCTCACCACCAAAGGGAGACTCCACAGGGGGCACTCTGGATCCGGCCCAAAGGCGCGTTGCATTAACTTAGTAGCGGAGGAAACCACCAATGAGTGTGTGGAGGTATCCATGGCTCCGTCGACGTCGAATACGAGATCCTCACGGCCAGGTCCGTGTTGAGGCGGTTTTGCATGAGTGGGTGTGTGCCCAAATCGAGAGAACTCGAGGAGAGAATTATTAACTAACTAACTAACATACGGAGCATGTACGAAGCACTACCATGGTTGGCTAAAGTGCAGGAGATTCAACCACCACCGGCAGCCACTTTGGGTCAAAATAAGCGTATGAGGACGGGGCAAAGGATCATTTCGCAGGGATTTTACTATAAATATCATTCTGATAGGGTCTTAACGGCGCTCTCCAGCGCTTGGAAAGAACAAGAAGAGAAAAAATGAGGTATCCTCGGACTCTCGGTCGCTGACTCGCTGTTCGGGGTAGTTATTAGACAACGCTGAATAATTGCTTTGTGTATATGCTTGTTCAGACGCACGGAGTGATCCGTGCGAGACAGTGGATGGCCAATAATAGGGCGACCGTCAAGAGGAAAGTCTCAGACGCCGTGCTCAGACAACTTGGTGTTTCTGGAGCCTTTTGCCCCCCTGAAACGCCTTCAGACGGGGCCAAGTCCAAGGGCCATCATATCTCAAAGCGTCGGAACTCAAAGCGGCATGGGCCTTTCAATTAGGCCTAGCAGGAATGACAATAATGCAGCGGCTGGGCAGTATTTGTCACCTCATTTTGATGTTCATGGGCCATGTAAGGCTTCCCGATACGGGCTTCGACGCTCTTTCTGGGCAAAAAAGGCCTCCATCGGCGGTTTCTGTCAGCCACAGTGACGGCCCTAGTGGATAATTCGGAAAGCAAAGGCCCAAAGCGGACGAGCTGGCGAGTGTGTGGAGAAAGAAAGAACAAAAAACGGGAAAGTTCAGTGCCTGGGCTTGGGGGATCGCTGCTTGTCGGCCGCACTGCGCCTTGGGATGATCGAGCATCCGGCATGCATCGGCGGCCAGGGTATATTGGCAAAGCTGTTTTAGCACAAGAAACTTAGGGTTTGAATATCGTTTTCAGTTGCGGCAGAGAGGCACAGAGCATCCAATGAGCATCCAAAAGGCCCTTGCCTTGCCTAGTATAGCATTCTCTAGTACTCCGTATACTTCTTGCGCATTCAAAAACAGTGTTCCACAGCAGTAGATTGTGGCGGATAGAATAAAGGGTACACGAAGAGGAAAAGAAAAGAGCCTGCTAGCACCCTAAGGGAAGAAAAGTGTACATAAAAAGGTAGAACGGGATGCCTGTGAAGGCCGGGCAAAACTCGAATCTCCGACTGGCAACGACTGGGTGCCTTGTGATCATCACGAGCATCATCTTCAGCTTTCTGCTGTGTTTTTGCCACATCAGCCCATCACGCCCGCGCCAGCCCCTTTTGAGCATCGTCCATCAAGGTTTTGAGCTCCCGGCCGCCATCAGTCTCAATCCCTTCGGCCTCCAGTCCTCTCTGAAGCCACTCCACGGCTTCTTCCCAGCGTCCCATTTCAACCAGGCACTTTCCGCCTCTCCACCATGCCTTGGTATTGGTTTCATCGTTGCACTCGATGCTGAGCTGGGCATCAATCCATCCTTCCGCCCACTCCTGCTGGGACATGTGTGCCTGCGCGCGGTTGGCGTACAGCGGCGCTAGCTCCTCGCGCACCAGGCCCAGGGGTTCCCACGGGGGCCGCCCTAGGGCCATGTCGATAGCATATGTGTATAACCTGATTGCTTCGGGTATGGTTGACTTGCGGTAGGCTGTGTTGGCCGAGTCCCGTAACTTACTGACCTGGGCGCTGCGCTTGGGATTGACGGGTCGCGGAGGAGGGGGCACATTGGGGCTGTCGAGGTTGAGAAGGGCACGATGCAGAGTGTTTAATGAGTCGAGTTCGGCGGCTAGACTGCTGCCCTGCGAGGATGTGGGTGCCGAAATCGCCTTGGACGTTGGGTCGAGTTGTAAGGGGTGGAGGAAGAAGCTGTCATCGGCCTCAGCGGCCATTGTGCCGGAAGTAGTGGGATCGAAGCTTTATTGGTGCAAGAAGGGGTAATCCGTAGAGCGTCGCAGAGTCTGGTGGCCGTCTGCAGCGGGTCTGAGGGTGGTTGATGGGCGCGTGGAGGACGGGATGTTGCGGTGGTGGTGATGGTGTTGAAAAGGGCCGGCAGGATACGCCAAAGGTGGCCTCTTGTGCGGCGAGGCACCACAGCGCCTCGACGATCCGCCGCGGCAGACGAGCCCACCACGGCCGCCTCCTCCCGCCGGCACGCCCTGGCCCTTGCGGCTACAGTGCTCTCTCTCTACGCTACACTCCCCGTCCTGGCGCCGCCCCGACTGTCCTGCTGGCCGTCCGCCGCCAGCGTCCCGTTGCTCACGACCCCGGACCGGAACAACTATGCGCCGACCGGCCGTCAAGGCCTCGAATGCGCGATCGATCGGCGGTGGACTTTCGACCGGCCAGCTTGCCAGGGAGGCAAAGAAGACCGATCGACACCCGCAAGAGCGTCTTGAACGCTTCATCTTGGCGGCCTTGCTTGCCACGCATGGCAGCCGGCGCCAGGAGCTGGCTGGCAGGCCTGCCACCTGCCACCTGACGCCGGAATCGTTGGAACCTGCACGCCGACTCCTGCCACCCACATTTCTGGGGTGTTGCGCACATATAAGGCAGAGCAAGAATACGAGCGGTGCGTTTCCCGCAGTGTCTCCGGCCCCATTCGTTGCGAATTCGAACAGTCGGCCCACAGCGCGCGCGCCAGCCCAACGGGGTCTCCTCTCTCCTGCAGCGTCGGACGTGAACCACTAATAATATAAGAACAAGGCCGGCCCAGAGGCCCCCTCTCCAGCGGCGCGCGGTCCTCGTCGTTCGATTTAAGTTTTGGAAATGGGCAAAAGAGTTCCGCCCGCTGTTCGAAAATTGACTTTTCCGGCCCTTGCACCAATCCTTAGCCCGAAGGATGGAAAGCTGGCGGGGTTGCCATGTTTGCCTCTTCCCTCGTCCGGGACCTCGCGGCGTGGGCGCTGGATGTGTTGGGAATAATATGCGCAGCACCCGGCTTCGACAGGCGCCGTGTGTGGTTTCCAGAACACAGGCCAGCCGTGAGTAGTCGTAACAGGGGCGCTCCTTGTAGATACCCGTCTAAATATATGCATTGGGAAGGACTCCGCAATTTTGGCCACTCTCCACCTATCCTGTTGCGGAAATGCTCTGTTGGTTAAGCATAATGCCCGTTATAATCACTGGGTCGACGTAATTGAAATATTATTGTTCAGACTTTGGGTTTATGATAAGACACCATCTGTTCAGTCTGGCCCCCGCCTCTGCTACGGCCGTTGGTGGACTCTACTGGACGGAGATCAGACATGACCTCATCTGTGCCGTGGGTGAAACATCGGGCCATGGAGCCGGACTCCAGTGGCCCCGAAAGACAGACTCTGGCCGCGACCTCTCGTGGAGGTCGACATCGTTTGGACCACAACGGCGCGAGGCTTGGTGGCGGAGGGTGCTGAGATTTGTGACACCTGCATTCCCAGACTTCGGAGAGACGGCGACGGGGTAACTATGCAGGAGATGTATCGCGACAGAAGCTGCTGTGGTTGGCTGGCGGGCTGGCGGGCTGGCTGGTTCCAGGCCGAGAACCGCTTTTATTGAAAGCCTCCAAAGTCAAATTCGCCCTTTTCCTCCGCGCCGGTGATTGGGGCCTATCTGGCTTGGGCATTGGGCTGGACGATCCGTCACCTAATATGGCTTGTGCTGCTGGCCCAAGAGCCTATCTTAGCATTTCCCCAGCAACTTTCTCGCCCACCATGGTTCAACCCACGTTACTCACGGCTAACTAACTAACTAACTACTACTAAGCTCTGCGCGCAACCGTTCCGTAACTTGGCCACAGTTCCCTTCCTCAAATCTGGCGTACTGCCCGTCGGCGTCGGTGTTTTCTTTTGTCTCGACAGACGCCCCAACGCGACGGTCCAAACCGGGGAATGCCTTCCACCAGGTTTGTTTTTTCTGATTTATGAGCAGCCCATCTGCCGGTTACCTTGAAAGTCGCCAATAGCGCCCATAGTGGGGGACCTCTGCCCAGGGTATTCAGGGAATCCGCACAGGATCATCTATCCAGTATCCTGGGGCCATCTGCCAGGTAACCATCCCCCTGCACCTTTTTCTTGTTCCCGGGCGCGGGATTCTCCAGTTTCCGCCTTAACACCGGTGTCGGCCGTGATGATGCGCATCGGATCATTATTATTTCTCTCACCTCTCCAAAGCTTGTCAAGGGTCTTGGGTGCGCGCTTTCTGCGCCTGTGCCACTCGGCCTGCATGCACGCTCCTTGTTACCCTTAGCCTGTGAGTAACATTGAGATCAGAGAGACCAAACCCTGGCCAGTATTATTTTTTTTTTTTTAAATTATCACCCTGCAGATTGGGTTTTGCCCTGCCTATCTCCCTTCAATCATATCCTCTCCTCTGTTGTCCGTGCATATGGGTTACGTGGAGCCAGCTTGGTATGGATCCAGATTGGCTCCCGCACCTCTTCTTTGGACGTTGCTGCACAGTTTTTAAGCTAACTCATTATTCTCTGTAGATACTCACTGCAGATGCCTAAACGCTAACTAATGGAATGGCTATTGATCTTTGTTTAATTGTATTACTTTCTTCTGAGATGGGCCCTGCACTGTGCTGTAGCTAGATTGATCGTGCCTCAACGCCCCTTTCCCCTTGAGACGCCGTTCGACCTCAATTTTTCGCCTTTGACATTTGTCATACATACATACCTACTCATTTGGATACGAAATGGCAACGGGCTCAGACGCTTCGGCTTTTAGCCGGGAGTTTGGATACCCTGCCCATATTTCTGCCTCGAGCGCCTGGAATATGCCCCCCAATGCCTACGCCTCTCACTCAAACGTGCCTTTTGGTATTCACTATCCAAATACACTGGCTTTCTGGCACAACCCGCATAGCATTCGTCCGTCGTCCGAGGCCCACGACTTCCACGCCCAAACACAAATACCGCAGAGGAATCAGGAGCAAAAGAAGCATAAAAGGACGAAAAGTGGCTGTTTCACCTGCCGCTCTCGCCGAGTGAAGGTAAGCCCCCCACCGTTTGTTCTTTGTTCTGTGCTCCCAACACCGCCAATCTCGCATGACTGACCGATTACTGCACGAAGTGCGACGAGACTCGTCCAATATGTGACCGTGAGTTCTTTCTACTATAAAAGGTGGCAATCCATTAATCGGAACCTCTTTATTAGGTTGTAGTAAGGGAAAAAGAGAGTGTTCCTACCCACCAGCGCAAATGTCCAAAAAAGAGAGCCGTTCGAGTATGAAAATGACTGAGAGACCTCCGTCAATTCGAGAGTGCTGCGAATTGGGTGGAAACGACGATGCCGGTACAACTATGAATGACTCTCTGAAGTGTGACGCACCGCCGTCTTCTATAAAAAAGACTCCGCCTCCATCAGCTATACGCAGGAAAGTTCGACGGTCTTCCGAGACGAGTACAGCTGCTCTGGAAACTAAAGGCATATCTCCCGGTAGCGACATGAGCGGCACAATCACCGAATCGCCCAGCCCCGTAACGAGTACCGATTTAGACTCTCAATTAACGTATGCGCTGCCTGATTTCCCAGGACTGAAACCGCATGACCGATTCTTTATTGCTTATCGACGCCAAAATATTAACTATCACCACTATCTCTTAAAATCTCACACCGCCAAGTTCCTTAACGAGGACATGTTGAGTTACGCTATGGGTTATGAGCCTTTGCTTTACGCCATGATTGCATTTTCTGCATACCACTACTCGATTGGACACCCTAATGGTAAAATATATACATTCCTTCAATACTATAATAAATCAGTATCGTTGCTTTTAAAGTCATTACAAGGTGGAGACAAGCATGATGATGCGATGCTTCTCACCATTCTCCAGCTATCGACCCTTGAGGTATGTGTGTTCTTCATTATTGATATCTGACCGGCTAATTAACAAATCCCTAGGAATTCGTGGGCGACTGGGTTAACCTTATTGACCATCACCAAGCAGCGCATCGTATGCTTTTAGAGCTATATACCCCCCAAAGTATCCATGTTGACAGCTTTCGTCGCCATATCTTACTTTGGTATACCAGATATGATATCATGGCTGGCTTGATGTCAGGAAATTCGGTGATTTTGAGCCGAGAATGGTATCTTGCGGACGAAGAATTTTCGATGCAAGAGTCCTTGAATGATCCGCACGATTTGGATAAAAAGATCATGGCATGGGGAGCGCGACATCGACGGTTTGGGATGGACGTAGCGTCGCTGTTTGCCAAAATGTCACAGGGATATATTAGCATGGAACAGTTCCTCATCGAAAAGGAAGTTCTTGATACATCTTTTGAAGAGCAAAGACGATTCTTGGAAACTATGAAGGATTCTAGGTACCTAGTGCTCTCATATCCCCACCAAAAGCCGCTGGATGCCGACGAAATTTTCGATCCTTACTCCCCTGGTATGATATATGGTGATGAGCTGTGGGAAATAAATTTCTGTGGCATGGAACTCGTCAGCGTCGGCATGCTATACAAATATCAAACCGGAACAATCTTACAGAATCTGGATTACACGGAATTGAAGGAGATTGCATTGGACCAGGCTCAGAGGATTGAAACGCTGAATCGCTGGCCAAACAAGCCGGAGGAAATGCACCTTTGGTTTATGTCTCCGCTGGGAATGGTTGTGCTATTCCTACCTCATGATAAGGAGTACAATATGTGGTCCCGAAGGAAATTGGCTCGCAACGAGCAATTGGGGTATGTATGACCAGTTTCCCGATATTTAATGCCGTCACTTCTAGCAACCGGTACTAATGAATTGATTTTAGATACATATATCCACCGGCGTTCCGCATGAGACTAGCTGAGCTCTGGAAAATCCCCGAGGTGCAGAACTGGTGGCTTCCCAACGACGAAGGATACCCGAGCGTCGTCCGCGACGTCCGGGCGTGGACGAAAGAGCGCGTTACCGACGCGAGAGATACGTTCCGAGAAGCCGTCCGGGATATCAAAGCGGTTCTTGGAAACATGAACCTAGAGGACAACAGTAGCGCTGGAAGCTCTCCGAGTGCCAACAGCACGGCTTTCTCGGACATGTCGTTGAGAAAAGTAGACGAATAATCGCGCGACTCCACGCCCATGCCTTACGAACCTAGCGTTCAGTTAGGCCTGGGTCTTAACAGCCATGTATTCGCCACCCCGTATGCATTGTGACTACGCTGGGGTTATTTTAAAGCACCGGCCGTGGGGGCATCTGCCGTACGGACGTTGATTCGATTCTGTTTAAGTAGCACGGACTTTTATTGTCCTGCTATTAGAAGAGCGTGACGTGAATTTTTCCAATACCCCGCAGCGGTACCAGCTTTGTTTAGGAATCATTAATCCAACCTCGAAGCCATTTTTCACATTTTACATATATAGACAAGTCGACATGTAAAAATGTAAATCCAATCCCAATCATCATTCATACATCTTCACTTCGCCGGCTTTCCCTTTCACTTCTGTTGCCTCAATTACCGTTCTCACTCCGGCAGGTAGCTCTCTTCCTCCATCTCCTATGGATGAATCCATCTCGCCTTCACCCCATGGCAACGCATCCACATCGATCTCGATTCCCAGGAGGCTCTTAAGCACCACCACGGCCCCAACTTTACTTATCACTTCATTCATCTCTGGACATCGTTCGTCACAGACACATTCGAGACACCCACGCGGACTGACACAAACGCATGACTCAATCCGATCAAGTCCGCGACGAAGCAAAGAATCAGCAAATTCAAAGGCTTTTGATGCAATGCCTGAGCCAGCTGCACCGCCTTTAGCGTCATAAAACGTCAACCTGGCCGGGCGCTGACGGCGTGGAGGTGGGTGGAGCTCCTGTTTACGGCCATTCGAGGTTTTGGGGGGACGTTTAAATTCTTTGGCGGCAGCTTTGCACTCTGTACGAATATCACTCGGGGAAGAAATGATAAACGTCGGCAGGAGCGACATCACTGCGTGTTCGGCCGCGTGAATGGCAGCAGCAGCATTCAAATTATGAGAAGCGAGGATATCAAGCGCCTGTTTCGGTATATCGAGCCACATACCCTTACTGAAGACAATTATTGGTGGGTTATTGAGCTCGACTGCATCGAGTATCCGGCGTTGTTTGTCCACTTTGAAATATCCATACACAAGAGTGCATATCTTTATGGAGCCGAAAAAAGCTCTTGAGTTAGAGGTGCCGCTGATACGCCGTATTGCCTCTGTTTCTATCGGATCGACGTCAGTAAAATCCCGTTGTGATGTTGTCCAATCGACTTGGACACGAACGACCCGGGCAAAGCGTCGATCTGTATTTAGTTCTTGAACCATGTATGTATGGCCTTGATGGAGGAATATAGCACCTTCATAGATCTCGAAAGAGACTCGCCTGTCTTCTATCTCTTCAATGACAACGTTGCGATTGTTCGTTGTGTCAATGACAGCGTAGGTTTCCTGTTGTACATCACGAATCTGAACGCAACGGGCAGGATGAGGACGGAAGCGCTCATGGCAATGGTAATATCCCATATTATCTCGCACCAACCGAGTGCAAGCTAGTTCGGTTATCTGAGCACCAAAGTACTTCGTATCATCCTCAGGGCGGACCGGTATTTCAAACGCCGCGCATTGCAAATGGCCTTCGACCACCAATTCATTGCGTAGATCAACCTGTAATTCACAATTCGGCTTTGTAAAGAGCTCATCGGGGTTGCGCATGTAATGCTGATCGACTCCATGCCGATCAGCAACTAGAATTGAAAGAGAGTCTTTGTTTCTTCGCCCTGCGCGTCCACTTTGCTGACGCAAGTTTGATATAGAGTATGGAAACCCATGGGTGATCACCGCGTCCAAAGAGCCTATGTCAACACCCAGTTCAAGAGCATTTGTCGCAACAATTCCCAGCAGCTTTCCTTCGAACATCTCTCGCTCAATCTGGCGCCGATCTTGCGGACTATAGCCGCCCCTATAGCCCATAACGAACTTGGCAACATTTGATCTATCTAAAGAACGGAGTTGGTTCCTTACTTCGCTTAGCAGCATTTCACACTCTTTTCGAATACGGCAAAAGGCTATAACTCTAACACCTCGGAGAATAAGCTGGCAAAAAAGCCTGGCAGATTCCAAAATGGATGTACTACGGCCAGACTTGCGGTCATTTGGATCATTGAAGGGGGTATTCCAACAAACAAACTCTTTACGGCCAGAAGGTGATCCATCAAAGTCTGTCAGTTTAACGTCTTCAACACCGAATATAGTTTTCATATGTGCCTCTGGGTTTGCGACGGTCGCAGAACAGGACACAAATCTCACATTATGGTTTCCCAAAGCTGCACATATTCTCCTCAGTCGTCGCATGATGAATGCAACATGAGATCCGAACAGGCCATTGTATACGTGAAGTTCATCAACAACCACGAACTTCAGATTTTGGAGGAACCTGCGCCATGAAGATTCTTTCGGTAGTATGGTGATATGGAGGATATCAGGATTGGTAAAGATAATTCTAGCTTCATCACGAATTGCGTTTCTTCGCTCCATTGGAGTGTCGCCGTCGAATGTTTCAATCATGGTATATTCCAAGCCAGGCATATATTGCATCAGTTCCTGCATATTTCGCCGCTGATCCTGCGCTAGGGCTTTGGTAGGGAAAATATACATTCCTCTGCTATCGAAATCTTTTTCCAATTCGCACAGCATTGGAATCTGATATATCAGAGACTTTCCAGAGCTAGTAGACGTAGACACTATCACGTCATGACCGTCATGGAGATTATTAATGGCTTCAGCCTGGTGAGAATATAACTGCGTGATCCCTTTAGTGTTATATAGTGCGTTGACGACGTTTTGCGAGAGTTGAAAAGTCAAATCTCCGTACACTGGTTGCTGGGCATCAATCACCCTGTGGCCATCTGGAACAATCTGCCCAGTGTACCAATCCTGCTCACGAATTTCAATGAGGATATCAGATATTGATTTTCGTTCTGTGGGTATTTGTGGAGGTAGCTTAGAAACAGCGGGTGTGTTAGTCCCGGATGTCCCAAAGACGGGGATGTAGAAATCCTTTTCGGCTTCAAGCTTTGTGACTGGGTCTACTTTCTCCTCTTGGCATCTGGCAAGAAACGCATCAATGGCATCAGAGAACTTTTTGTTCCTCTTCTCAATTAAAGATAGCATGTGCTTCCGATCATAAACCGGCATTCTTATGCTATCTTCCCATGGGTTACGGACTTCAGCCCCTTCACCTTTTTCCTTTCTCAGATTGCCATCAACAAACTCAAACAATAAAACTTCATCGGCATTTTCTTCTTCCCCTATACCCTGTTGATCTTTAAGATCAATACCCATACCTTCCGTTTCCCAATCATCCCAAGCTTTTCCTAGTTTGATTTTTTTTGCCTCTGGAATTCCCAAAACATTCACCACCCTGGCATCCACGGTCTCAAACCTGACTGAATGCGGAACGAGTACCTTTACTTTAGCTACATCTTCAACAGTCAGCTGCCTCCCGCCAGTTTGAGATTCAACAGCAGATTTGATTTTCTCAAAAGTCGTCGCGAAGTGCTTTCTGGTGCAGCAAAAGGTGTATACAAGGTTTAAGGCGCGGTGGGTTTGAGACAGGCTTTTGAACGCTGAGGGCCAAGGGATTGATTGTGAGGCTTTACCCTTCGAGGCAGTTTTTGAGCCAGAGCGTGAGGCGCTAGATGCTCGGGACGAGGATGTAGATAAAGGCTTTGAGTGTGGGGGTGTATGATGATAAGGTCCATCGTGGTCCTTTGTTGGAATTGTGACGGGGTCAATTTTCTTAGCCGCGGAAGATATGCCATTCTGTGAAAGTAAATTCTCAGCTTCAGCATCAGCTGGAAGAATAGGTTCGCTGATCAACGGTAAGCCTTCTGCTTTTCTCTTTCTATTCATCTTCCTAAATAAGATGGTATTATTAAACTTTGAAAGCGTGTGAAAGTCTACCGCTCTATTTGCCTGATAATGCCCTAAGTGTAGGAGCCTCAGACAAACCCCAAGCCGACCATGGGCAATGGGTAGGGATCATGGGTTTTAAAAGTCATCTGATATGAAATGCCTTGTAAAACTCAAATAATCATCATAAAGGAAAGGATTCATATCTGTAGCACCAAAAAGGGGGAGGTTCTAAGGCTGAAGCTCAAATGTACGGAGTAAAGAACGTTAATTAGGCATCGCGTGGTCGCGTGTCGCGCCATCACGTGTAGTTATTGCTGATTTGGGATTGTTTGCAATGTTTGACTATTTTGATAGTTTTGTTTGCTCTGTATAAAATTGTGGGTGATTTGACCATGAATGAACGAGTGGGTACGGAGTAGAGCAGTTAAGAACTCCGAACAGAGCCCGTTTGAGATTCAATAATGATACAACTATGGAGTACTCCACACAGAGCAGACATATCTAAACGTATGCTCTCCGGTATACTCTGTGCCAACAAACACTTCCTCTAAGATACGGATAAAAATGATCAGCAGCCGTCGCCCGAATATCGCGCAGTGCGCAAAATATGGTATCAGAACAGACAAAAAGCGAAGTCGCTCCCTGGACAATGTGATAATCGAAATCACGACCTTCCGTACTCCAGTCAATGCAAAACGGATGTTCTACCACTGAACTAATTGCCCATTTCCTTGGCGTCGCCGACTCCCTGACACAACATCAGACTCGACATGCCATATTTCTCATACTAAGAAAATATTATGGTGTGAAGCCAACAAACAAAGAGCAAGGAAGCTAATGATTAAGAAATATTCTATTTTAATAAAGATTTCCCCGCAATTAACATCAATGACGGACAGGAACGGGATCTAGGAAGCGGGAAAAGACGCAAACGATTGAACGACGGCCCCCATCTTAACAAAACGGCAAACCGCAAAGGTTAGGCAAAATTAAATGCATCACAATTGACTTCAGAGCGCAGCAGGGCTATGGATAGCATAAGGAAAACCGTTTTCCAACCACCCTGATAGCAAACACATGCCAAGACAAGAAGTTAGGGTTGGGTATTTTGTCGAGCAGCAGTAGCCATTAAATATCCGCTAAAATTTCGTGGATACTATGGTAGATATCTTTGGCTGCCTCAGTGCTTGAAGTCTGTATAGCATGTTAGCTTTATCGGATGCGAAAATCAGTTGAACATACCCTTAGCAAAAATGGTATAGATTTGCCATTCTCAATCCCAGCAAGATGGATTTGTTTGCCCTTAGGTTCGCTTCCATTCGCATCGCCCACTTTCATTCCCTTGAAGATAGGGCAATTTAGAGTGACACGTAACACCCCATCACTCCGCATAATCATACGTGCAGACCGTACAACTTTCTTAGGTTTTGAGCCTTCCTCTCCCTCCACTAGCGACTCCATAGCGTTAATTTTGAAGGTGCCGATACCACGCTCTTTCCACTCTTTGCCATCGAACTGAAACAATTTTCCTCGGCCAGAGTACCAAGTCCGTTCATTTTCTTCCCCAGTTTCAGCTAAAGAGAGCACGTATTAGCCTAGCGCTCTATGAAAAGGTATGAACTCATCTTACTTTCTTGCTTGAAAAACCTTTCATCTTCCTTCACGTCTTCAAGTCCTTCAAAAGCAGGGCGTGTTTCATCTTCTGTCTGTTCTTCTTCCCCACCTTCGTCATCTGACGTTGCACCAAAGGCTTTCGTCTTTGAATTGCCTCCAAAACCGCCAAAAGCCCCAGAGCCTGCTGGGGCAGCAGGAGCAGCGGGCGAAGCAAAGCTGGTTAAGCCCACTGTAGTTGTAGGTGCCACAGGAGCAGCGAATTTAGCAAAGGCACTAGAAGAAAATCCCCCAGAAAATGATCCAAACGAGCTAGCCCCAGTCGTAGGAGGTTGCGACTTTTCTTTCTCTTTCGTGGTGGGTTGCATAGGTTTCATAGACCCAAAAATAGACGGTCCGCTACCTATGGTGCCGAATGGGGATTTTTCTGAACCAGCAAACGCGGCCAATCCCGATGAAGCGAATGCTGATGTAGAAGTAGTGGGTTGGGTTTTGGAGCTGGTCTCGACTGGGGCAGGGGCTGGTAGGCCTGCAAAGGGAGAAGTAGCAGAGGTATTCAAAAATGGGTTTGACAAGCAAGGCTAGAATTGCATATTAGTGGAGTTTCTCCGGGAAAAAATACTGCAAAAACGTACTTTTGTAGAGGAATCATCTTTGGAACTATCCCGGTCCCGCGATTCGTCACGATGTCTCTTCTTCTCTGGCTCACCCTCGGCTGTGCGAATTTTTGCAGACGGTTTCGGTTCTTCCACATCATGGCTCCCTTCGAGTAGATCATTGCCTTTGGTTTGACGCTCCCTTTCGGCCTGTGTTCTATCCTCTCTATCAAGTTGGTCCCTGCTTCGCTTCTTCTTGGGGCTTAGAATCTCCTCGGTATCGTTTGATAATCGACGTTGGTTTGAAAGAGTTGGTTCACGCTCCACCACCGGCTTTACCTGATTTTCCTGGTTAGGTCTTTCTTCCGCTTTCGAGGATCTCGACCTCTTTCTTCGATGGGCGTTGTCGTCTTCCTTCTTAACTTCATTGTCGGCTTCGTCTGTTTCTATAGCTTCATCAAAGGACCGTTTTCGCCTAACACGCCCTCTTTTATCGTCGTCTTCCGGATCGTATTCTCGAGGCTCTGCAGGCTGGTTGTTTAGGACTTGCTGCTGAGAGGGAACCCCGCCAATGGAAGTTTCCTTGAGCTTTTGGCGGACGGGTCGCTCACCGGACCCATCTTTTTTGGAGTCAGAGGTGGGCTCATTTGTTTCTTCTGGTTCCGTTGTTGATTCTAAAATTTTCGTACCTTCTGAAAGCTCTTCTGCGTCGCGACGCGGGGATTTGGCTTCGTTTTCCTGTTCATCTTCTTGAAATTAGAGCCTGGACAAAATAGTATTCGCAGAAAAGCCTTATGGTCGGATGTGTTACCTTTCAATGAAGCATCGCGTCCTTCTTTGTGTAGAGAGAGTTAGCTGTTTCTGGAGTAATCTGCGCTACACGACGATGTAACTCCGTCCGCCAGGTGTGATCTAGGGATGAGAAGAGGGACGGCATCTCCATACCTGTAGGAGATATCTGGGAATTCTTTGCGGGATCTAGGCTCCAAGCATCGTCAGAAACAGCTCTTCTTGCATGCAGGGCGGACGAGGCACGGAACTGGTATCTCACCCTTTGAGCGTTCAAGCTGTACCTGCTCTTCTGGTGTTGCCATGTCGACAATCCCTCGTTTCGAACTGTTGTGGCGGCCTGTCGGTGATATCTCAATAAAGTATTAGTTAAAAGGGAGGCGTTGGTGGGGAGTAGTTACAACAGAGCGGAGGAAGCAATCGGCTACCAACTAATTTGCTGGGTGGTTTTGGCGGGTGGTGGGCGTAACTACCACAGTCCAGCGAACGAACTCGTCTAAAAGGAAATCCGGAGCTGATTCCAAACGTTACCTTCCGGGAAAATACGCGCCCGGGGCTGCAGGTCTTTCTTTTTTGTTGTAGAGGGGAATTGCTGAGTGGATGCACTCTGGACATAAATAGCCCCCCCTAATATGTAACTAACTAACTACATACCTAACCGCTCAAACTGAAGCGCTGCCTGGCCGTGCCCAACACAGTGGGCGCGTGGCGAGTTGCAATTCGGTCTGCCTCCTTTTAAGCAGGGGCATGCGAGGTTTGAAAGAAGCCGAACAGATGTTCGAAAGGAGTCAAGTTTCATTGGGCTTTCGAAACCCCGATGCAGCTAATTAAGGAAGCAGACAGGCGAGTCTTTTATAGTTGCAAAGGCGCAACCCTAGGTTATGCCTCGATTGAAATTACCATGCACAGTAGAAAGAAATGAACTGGGTGGATTCGAGCAAAGAATAATACATCCTGTCGGTGTATTGATACAAATAACTGTGATAGAAAATGACACAATATGAACATCTTTATGTGCTGAGAGATGACCCTAAACCCAAGCCATATAACATGCTGCAAGCTTGCGCTAAGGATCAGGTCGGCATACTTAAATAATTAGCAGAGGCTGGCTAACAATAGAAAATACCCGCCTCAACTGATGAAGCACAGGCAGCCTATTCCCACGTAGAAGATAAGTAGAGGGTATATAGCCAAAAAAACTCTGTTCTTCACGACCCCAGATCCCCCTAGGATACTCACGCCTGCCGCAAGAGACCACGCAATCAGTACGATGTACACCGGAATTCGGGGGATAAAAGGTAGCCCTAGCGCGCTTAGCAGGGCCGCAATTACTAGAGGAAACGTTGTATATCCGATTAGGCAAACGGACTGGAAGAAAGAGCTGTCGAAAATACCAGTCAGCACAGAAAGCCACGGTTAGGAGGAAACAAGGCATACATATTTCCGCCCAGTAATTTGATCTGCAAAGTTACCACAGCTTCTCCAATCCATACTATACAGAACATCCCCGAGAATACCAAACTCTTCTGTTCCTTTGATGCCGCCATGGACATAAACATACTCAATAACAAGCAGAATATTAATGGCCCCCTAGAATAGCACCTGTTAGTCTACCCAAGAGGCACCAGTCGATGAATACTGAAGAATGGACAAACCAAAGATCCCAATCTCTTAGCCCTTCACTCATTCCGCCCTGTAGCACAACATCTGCATCGGGCCATCGGCCAACGAGCCCTCTGACTCCCCCGACAAGTCCATTCCCGAAGCCGGTTGCTTCGCCTCTTTCCGCTGCACCGCCAATCCCTCCACCACCGCGGTTCAGCATGCCGCCGAGTAAATATTTTGGCCAGAGGACTTGTCTCATTTTCTCCCATACCCCAATAAGGTCGCGTGATAACGTATCCCATACCGATTCGTCGATTGTGTTGACCGGAGCACGACGGTCTTCGCCAGGAATAGAGGACGTAAGGTAAGATCCGGTAATACTACCACCGATGCCGGACCTTGAGGAATCACCACGGTCATTTGCGATATTTCCTGTTAGGGGAGTTCGGTCGGTTGTAGAGGATAGAGGGTCATCGGCTTCAATAGCTAGAGAACCTCAGGTTAAATCCAGACTGAAGGCACCTTAGTGGGTAGCCATAAGATAAGCATACAGTCATCTGCCAGCACTAGGTCATTGTCCAGAGAGGAATCATCGTCACGCTCAATCACAAAAGGGCTTGACGTCCTGTTGTCTGTGGATGCGCTAGGCATCATCGCCATGATATCGGTGCTGACCGGAATCCAGTCGCAACACACCCGTCACCGCAGCAATACACAAATAAAGTCCCCGAAAACTTCAAGCCGTAAATCAATGGTGAGCAGTCCACACTCTCCATATCAGACGTACCGAGCTGGCAATATCATTCTGAAAAGGTTGGAGCTTGTGAACAGATCACAGACAAACAGTGCAAAATCACGTGTAGATTAGATTCGACCCCTTCATGAACAGGATTAAAACAGAGGATACGGAGTACACAGTACAACGATCTCAAGTGGTGTATTCTAATAAGGGCAATCAGATGACTGTTACTACACTGTCGCACGTATAACTATATACTAGCAGATCTAGTCCTTATATGAAATTTATAGAGCTTCGGTTCCTGGCCTCCACACAAAACCAGGTCGTCAGCAACAGCGATGGTATGATTGTTTAAAGAAAGTACTAGATTACCTGGCACAAATTAGGCGCTGGGTCCGATTGAAAATAGGAAAAGTGCCGTATGCACAGCTAGAGGGGAGTGTCCACAGGAAAAGTAAAGTAAAGAAAGAATTTGTTATCACTCAAAAAAGCACTGGTAGTCACCATACGCCTGCCAAATTTGTGAGCATTTGTACCTCATATTAGTACGCTGCCTGAAATAGGTACCAGTGCCGACCATGTTCCAAATATTCAAAGAACGCCCAAAGCAAAAAAAAAAAAAAAAAAAAAAAAAAAAAAAAAAAAAAAAAAAAAAAAAAAAAAAAAAAAAAAAAAAAAAAAAAAAAAAAAAAAAAAAAAAAAAAAAAAACAAAAAAAAAAAAAAAAAAAAAAAAAAAAAAAAAAAAAAAAAATTAAAAAAAAAAAGTAAAAAGATAGAAACAGAGGGAAATGAGAGACA